CACTGGCCTATAATGCAAATCACAATTTAACTTCGGATTTGTCCATAAAATATAAAACCTCGCGTCGAAATTCTATTTCGACTCGTAGCTGTTAAAACTTTTCTCTCTTGAATTTAAAGGTAATTCCCATTCGACTTTAAACTATTCTGATTTATTAATGAATATTCGAATTAAACAAACTAGTCTGCTGGCTTTTTTAAAACAAAACGAAAATTTTGCTGATTCTCTGCGCGTGCTATTTTCATTTTGAAAAGGGTGTTAGTCTCGTTATTTCTGGCTACAATTGCAGCTGAAGCATTTTGAAGAAATTTAGAAAGGGAGCGATAAAATAAAAGTTAAAAATGTTGGAAGTTAAACTAAACAATTCCTAACTTCTAATAATAAAAAATAATAATTTTATTATTATAAAAGGAAAATAGACAGAGAAAAATTCTATATTCCTTCCTCTATGGTCGGGTTCTATAGGACACGTAAACCTCGTCGTTTTATTGTCAGTGTCTCCGGACCATACCATTTTCCTCTGTTGATGAGGTGGTGATTAGAGCTAACATCACCGTGCTCGTCTATATCGCCGCGACAAGGGACAAAACACAAAGTGACAAAGAGAGGATAAAGAATGAAAGATAGAGACAGACAGACAGAGAAAAAGGGAACGAAATTTAGAGAAAAAAAGGAGAGAGGAGAGAGAGAGAGAATGTAAATAAAAAATAGTACGAGGACAACAAAGGGATGTAGAGTGATAAAGTGTCAAAGAGAAAAAAGAGGGAATGAATGAAAAAAAAGGGTGATAAATTGAGATATTTAGGAAAGAATAAAGAGAAAGATATAGAAAGAGGAAAAAAGGAAGAAAGAGGCAAAGCGAGAGAAAGTGACAAAGAGAAACAAGACAGACAGTCAGAGTGAGAAAGAAAGAGGTGAGGGAGAGAAGTAAGATAAAGAAAAAACAGAACGAGAGCAAGAAAGGGATAGAAAGTGTCAAAGAGAAAAAAGGGAGAAAGAAAGAAAAGAGAAAGTGAGAGAGATAGAATGAGAAAGTAGAGGGAAAAAAAGGTATAGACAGTGAAAATTAACAGACAGGAAAAATAAAGAGGTAGAGTAAGGGAAAGAAATTTAGTGAGAGGGAGAGAAGGAAAAATGGAATGAAATTGAGAAATGGGGAAAGAAAAAGCTTGAGAAAGAGAGAGTGAGTGGGAGGGGAGGAAGTAAGGTAAAGAAAAAATAGAACGAAGGCAAGAAAGGGATAGGGAGTGAGAAAGTGTCAACGAGAAAAAGGAGAGAAAGTAAGAAAACGAGAAAGTGGAAGAGAGAGAGAAAGTGAAAGAGAGAGAAAGAGTAAGGAGAGAAAAAATATAAAGTAGGCTAAAAAGGAGTAGGCAGTGTAAAAGTAACAGACTGAAAAAATAAAGAGAGAGATAGAGTAAAGGAAAAAATTTATTAATTACAGAAAGAGTGTAAGAGATAGATTAGATAGATAGATATGTAGATAGATAGATAGATAGATAGATAGATAGATAGATAGAGAGAGAGAGAGAGAGAGAGAGAGAGAGAGAGAGAGAGAGAAATAGAACAAGGACAAGAAAGGGATAGAGTGAGAAAGTGTCAAAGAGAAAAAAGAGAAAGAAAAAGATAAAATGAAAGTGAAAGAAAGAGTAAACAAGTGAAAAAATATGAATGGAGCAACAAAGAGGTAGAAAGTGAGAAAGTAACAGACAGAAAATATAATGCAAGATAAAGTAACGGAAAGAAAGAGAGAGAGGGAGAGAGAGAGAAAATAAGAGCAAAAATTCAAAAACTTTCAATAACTCAGATATATTAAGATGAATATTCTAGGTCATCGGATAAGAAAGCAAATTGATAACCCTGTATAATTTGCTGTTGTTACTTATAAGAGAACATTGCAAACTTGTAATACATTTAAAAACAGACAGGTTGACCCTGTTAGGGTTATGGGTATAATTTATTGCATAAAACTGATTTTATCGTGGTTAAAAATAATATATTTGTAAATGAAACATATTTTGAAGCATCAGACAATGCTAAATTACACATATAAACTGCAACTTATTTTACTATTTACACCCTAAACACATGACACACGATATTATATGAAATTCCACTTAGTAATTCACAATTCTTGTACACTTAATACAATTTTACTCTAGACTAGATTTAAAAATCAGTCAAAAGAGAATCTGAAAAATAAGGCACCTTACAGGGTGTGACGATGGCAAGGTAAATCGTGGATAATTTTCAATTAAATGCAATTTCGACCTCGATACAAATTTTCATTCGGCTGATCTGCGTATAAATCGACGAGTTTCAAATCTCCGTAAAATGTATAAAGCATCACAAATGTTGATTGTACTATTGGTTTATCTAATTAAAGCCAATCAGCACCTGAGGACTTTAAAAATTATGCTTTATACGAATAAATTGTTACACAACTGTTAAGAATAAATTAAATAATTGACTTTACAACTTATCCTGCACACTGCTAATAAAAATCACTTAAATACATTTGACAATCTTCCAATGTGGAGGGTGTAAAAGAAAAAGAAAATATGTTTATAAAAAAATGTTTATCTCCTGTCTATATCGAACTGAAAAAATATTACATAGTTAATTTCCAGATAATAAATTTAGGAAATAATTTTATTGAAATTATAAATTAAATAAATTGAAGATAACTTGCTTAATAAAAAGGTTGATGTTAAAAGAATGGAGTTTCTATTAATCAACCTATGTTCAAACGACAAATTTAAAAAATGCGAATGTAACTTTCCTTAAACACAAAAAATTTCCAAAAAAAATCAATAAATTTGTAATACTTTTTTTCCAATCACAGACAAGCATACACACTAAAATCACCGATATAAATCTGCAAATACACAATTACATTTTTTTATTGTATTTGTAAAATAATTTGATCACTCCCTATAACATAATACATACAAAATTTATAATGAAGCTAATCCCTGGTCCAGATGAAATATAATTATAGAAGAAAATAAAAATAACATGGTTTTTAAAATGTACTTAAAATAAAATAATTAACTTATTTAATTTTTTTTCGACTTAATACAATTAATGATTAATTCAAAACACAAAGATTTATCATTATTTAAATCCTTTACCAACAGTATCAGCAGAAATTTGGTCAGCGCATGATTAAAGAGGTACTAGTATAATTAAGAATCCGCAGATCAATTTTTATCCAAACAATTTCTCTGCCTAAAAATTTTTTTATTCAAAAATCCGATCTCTGTTATTTTTGTTGTTACAAGGAACCACCACAATAGTACCAATATTAATAATTTATATAAACCAATGTTGGGCAAATTAAAAATATTAAAAAAAAATACATTTCTACCATTGGTAACTTACATGGCCTCTATGACCCTATCACTTTATAATAAAACACTAAATTTTCTTCTACATCCTAAAAAAACACTGCTTTTTAATATAAAAAAATTATTAGCCTTATTTTCATGTTCTATTTCAGTACGATTGGAAATTTTAAAAAACATTCTCTAAATATTGAGAAATTAATTCTAACTACACCATGTTATTTTCAACATTTACATCTGCGACAAAGGTTTCGGTACAGTTTAAAAACAGAAACAAAACAAAAATATTGTATTTAAACTATTTTTAGATTCAATCACAAAGCAAATCTTATGATTTTTATTACAATTTTTTTTTTAAAGATTTATCTTACAATCACGTACATACATGTGGTCACAAACATGTACAACACAACTCAAGTAAAGCTCATTCAAATATAAGCTATTATCAGTTGTTAGGCAAAATGGCACTGTAAACAAAATGCAAAACCAAAAGCAACTCTTAAAAAATAAATAAAGTGTAAATGTTTAAATTTTTTTAAACTTATTTGGACCAATGAATTGGATAGTGCAAAACAAAGATAAAACTACTAGGTGGTTTTCTTTCACTATAGAAAAAGAAACAAACAAATATCGTTAAATGCTATAAATTCCTCTTTAATAATAACTGCCAAAAGTTGAAAAAAATTTAAAATATTTTTCAAAAATAGACATTTTAGACAATTTGGCATTTCTTAAGAGCATCAATTTTGTTTTACATAATGTTTTATTCATTAAATAAATGATATAAATAAATAATGTTGAGTGTAAGGCAAAAACTAATTTAAGGCCAGTGTATTTTAGCCATGAAAAAAACAGTAAATATTGTTTGAAATAAAATGGACAAACTTGTAAGCTAAAAATAAATTAATATGAAAAACAATGTGTTCAAGAGCAGGCTTACAGGCTCAAGTTTTCAAAAGTATTGGAAGACAACATTTTCCATGTAAATAATATTTCTTGATCAATTCTTCTTAATTTAAAACTGGTTTTATTTATACCAATTAAACTCAATTTCACCCCTCAAAAAAATAATAAGTTCAACTTAGTACGTTCACTTTTTACGATTCACAGGTAATTTTTCCAAAAAAAATACGTATATTATTTATATGTATGGGCTTTTTGTAAAATGGACGGCAGTAAAGAAAAAAAATAGCCTGTAATCAGTATTTTCACAACTGTTATGGCTCGCTTAATGGAAGAAAGCTTTGGAAAATCAGGCGTAAAAAATACATCGCAATTTTACTTATCAATTTTGCCTTAAGCGCCTTAAAATTAACATCATGACAAATCAAACATGATTTTTTTTTTGTAAGTTTGTTTGAGACAACGGTAAATTGAAAACAATCTAAACATAGAATTAGATTATTTAAAATTTCACTACATCAGATTCTCATTTACCATCATGATTATGATTTACTTCTTTTAAATAAGATACAATTTTTTTATGACCATTCTATTTCTTCTCTTACAAAAGAAACAATTGAATTTACATCATAAACAATTTTCATTAATTATAAATTAAATCTTTGAAAGATTCCTATTCATTTTTTTTTCATGATTATTTATTTATTTTTAACATAATTTGTTTAAAACAATATGTAACCAACATGTGCATTCTCTTTTGTTTATGTTGTCAGTATAATCTTTCCCTATTTTATTCTTACATTATTTCACAAATCCAAATACAGAACGTTTCCAGAATAATAAATAAAACTTAAAAGAATAGAAAAGCACCCTATACATCCTATACATTATTCATCTTCTTCATCGTCGTCTTTCAAGTTTTTCAACGCTTCTTTTGCAGCAAGGAATTCGTTGTAATGTGCTTTCCTCTTGCTCTCAAATTGTTTTTTCTTCGCTAAAAATAAAATAAAAATATATGTTCATAAACTTGTGCTTGATTGTTTATATTTCTTGTATTGTAATATTTTTTTTAAGTATAAATACAGTGAAATAAATAAAAATTAAAAACCTGCTTCATCGTCCGAACTATCAGAAAGGTTGCCTCTGGGCTTAGAACCTCCACTGCTACCGGTACTCCCTGTAGATTTTGCGCTACCACTCCTTGATTTTTTCTTTAAATTTTTCTGCAATCTAAAAATTTACTTTTTTTACATTAATATTTTGCCCAGGAAATTTATTTTAACTTATCGAAAGCAAAATGTCAAAATAGAACTTGTCTCATTACAGTTAAAATTTTATATTCCTAGAATAATGACAATATAAATTTCAGTTACATACGTACAATGTGTAACAAGATTGTTCAATTTATTTAATACAATTTCCACTTTTTTGGGGACGCTTTTATGAAATTGTTATAAAATTACGCAAGGTGAAAAACGTACTTCTCTGCTAGAAGGACTGGATCTACTCCAAGAGAGTCTACTTCATCTTTGACAAGTTTTTCATAAGGTGTTTTAGGCTCTTCGATTTTCATATGGCCGTAATCTTTGTTAGGAGGATGTAGGGTCTCTTTTATATTTTCTTCGTCCCATTTGGTTTCTTTATGCTGGTGCTGGGTGTTCTTCCTCTTTGATCTTAAAATAAGTATGCATTAGTTAATATATGACATGGTGTCTATATACTATTTTTAATATCTTAATATTAATTAAAATGGGAATAGAAAGGAAAAGAAAAAGAGCAAAAAACATGAACATAAGAGTCAGAACTGCAAAAAGAATACCACATGGCAAAACATTAAAATTGACTGATTTCAGTGTACAGTTTTAAATAAATTGAAAACAGAAAAGATATTATAGATAGAACAAGTAGAAAAAATTGTAACCCCAGGATACACTGACTTTGTTTAAGGGTTGTTCCTATGATGGGAATAATTTTATAAATAATTAATTATGAATGCAATATATTTTCAGATTCAAGCCTGATAATGCTGTATAAATATATCTATAAAAACATAAACATATAAAATAAAAATACTCTACTATGAAATAAAACAAAAAGTAATAATTAAAAATCTAGCAGTGAAGATTGATCTTTCAGATGGATTGAGTAAGAGGATGAGGGCTTTTTTGGGATGACTTGAGAATGGAGCAAAAGGAAAGATTTGAACCAGTGGAAGACACTGTGGAATATGGAAATCTATAGTATCAGACGCTTTAAAAAAAATCAAGAAGGACAAGTCTTGAACATCAGGAAGGGGGAGAAATATAAATTTGGGGGTCTGTAAAAAGGTGATGGAAGCAATACTTGATGGATTTCAGGTAGTATAAATAGTAGTAGAAGTAGAAATGTGACAGCAAAACAGGGAAGAAGAAGTGCTTAAGCTTCAGATGGATTTGGTAGGAGGATGAGAAATTATTTGGCAGACTACTTCATAACAGTATGAAAGGAAAGAGTCGAACCGACAGAAAATACAGTATGATAAGGAAATCTACTGTATCAAAGGCTTTTAAAAAAAAAATCAATAAGAACAAGTGTTCACATCAAGAAAAGAGGGAAGGTAAAATTTTGGGATCTGCACAAAGGTAATGGAAGCAATATTTGATGGATTTAATGACGTCATTACTGTAATAAGAAAAAATGAAAGCAGTGAAGAATAAGCTTCGACGGACTCCAGATGTGGGGTTACTTGGCAAGTAGACTACTTCTTAATGGAATGAAAGGCAAGAATCGAACCGACAGAAGACACTGTGAAATAAGTAAATCTAGATGTAGATGTAATATTTCAGGGTATGGTATACTGCGCCCTTTAAGAGCTATTGTATCCCCCGTGCTCTGCCTAAAGCACAACGGTGAGTCCTATTTCATCAAGAAACTTGATTAATAGGCTCGGTTTCAGTGGTTGTAGTTCTTCTATGATCACATTGTACATCCCAAAACACTTCCTCCTGCGGGATAATATATCTCCGCAGTTTGTTAGTAAGTGTGTTGGTGTCTCTTCTGCTTCCTTGCAGAATCTACATGTGCCATCTTGGATTATTCCAATTTTCTTTAGGTGTCCATTTAATCTACAATGTCCTGTCAGGAATCCTGTTAGGATTCGCAGTCTATTCCTGCTTCCTTTGACACATTCTGTGATTTCTTTCTTGCCAAAATTGGTTAGAAGATTCTTGGATTGTCTATGTCCAATAAGTGAATTCCAAAGTTCTTCCAATCTAGTAGACTACTTCTTAATGGAATGAAAGGCAAGAATCGAACCGACAGAAGACACTGTGAAATAAGTAAATCTACTGTTTTGAAGGCTTTGGAAAAACCGAAAAGGACAAGAATGGTATCTTCTGAATTCTGTATGTCGTCATGTTTTTAGATCGGTGGATTGTGTGGAAAATTCATTTAACTCCATTTTCTGAATGTCATTGTTATAATATTCAGGTGTCACTTTTTTTTAAAATGTCACTATGATGGCCTCCTTGAAAATTGTATAATGTACAGTGATATGAGTATGTTATATACCAGAATGGGAAGAATGGTCCAAAGGAACACCGCTAAAGGCAAACTCCTACTTTTATACTGATGGCACCAAAACCGACAAGGGCACAGAAGCTGGAGTCTTCGGGATGTATCTAAAGACCAAACTGATGATAAATCTAGGTAAATATTATATAGTTTTCCAGTCTGAAATCATAGCAATTGAACAATGTGCAAAAGAGGTAAAAAGGCTAGGAATACATTCCTGGAAGATATCCTTTTTCTCTGACAGTCAGGCAGCACTAAGGGCCTTAGCCTCATGCGAGGTGAAGGCAAAGAGTGTTTGAAACTGCAAGGAGGCCCTGACAGAAGTCAGTGACACTATGACCTAACCCTGGCCTGGGTCTCTGGGCACTCAGGGCATAGAGGCAATGAAAAGGTTAACATGTTGGCCAAAAAGGGAGCGAACTGGACTCTCTTTGCCCAGAACCCTACTGCAGCCTAGCAGCCTGCCACAAAAGAGGATACATCTTAAAACAGATCCTTAACGGGTCCAAAACCTGGTCGAACAATACAACAGGTACAAGGCACGCAAAGAGATAGAGAAGGACCATCCACAAAACTTACAAAAGAATTACTGGAATGCGACTTCAACCAAATCAGGATTCTGATAGGACTCCTGACGGGGCACTGTCACTTAAGAAAGAACATGCACTAGGAGTACAGACAGAAGAAACGCTGTGTAGATACTGCCAGGAAGATAACACAGAACATATTTTTTGTTTCTGAGGTCTTTGCAGGTGCAGTTTTCTTGCAATTAGGACAAGAAAAACCGCAAGCAAGATCCTACAATAAGGAGCCGCTAGCAAAGCCATGGACGCTGATTAACAACCTGAAGCTGGCCAATGAATTATAACAAAACATGGGGCACAATAGATCTACCCAGGTCGAGGTGCAGCAGGCCTGATGGTACAACATACAAATTTTGACAAATTACTTAAGTGATAACATTTTATTTGTCTGAAATAATATTGACTATAAGAAGACCTTGATTGTCGGAGAATTGTTCGCAATCATCCACTTGATTAAATCAACAAGAATAGCATCTCAATTTCCCTTCTCCACCATGGAAATGAATAAATACTGATAACCGAATTTGTACTGTTCTGTATTCCGAATGAAAAATCGGATTTTTAAGTTTTATAATCGGTATAAAAGATGTATGAATGTGTAACGTAAGGACATGTAAGTACGAGAACGGTGACTTACCCCGTCGGCGCTTCCGGGACTTCGAAACTCGACGAAGACTTGAGTATGCTTTTCCTCGGTTTCTTTTTTAAATTTTCCGTTGGATCAGTTCCAGCCATTATTTCGTTCATCTCTTCATCTAGCTTAGGAGAATGGACAGTGAAAATAACGAAGTAGGGAAACGATATTTCTGTGGTTAGAAATGTAGAATCGAAAATGATTTCATATGATACTAGTTAATATTGAACAGTCGGTATTTCCACCTTTCTACTAATAGCTTAACGTCCATACAGGTTAGTTTGTAAACAAGGACCGAAGAATAAGAAGGTTGCTCTCTTCTTTGATAATGCCGGCTTTGCTTGAGGATCTTCGTGCCATTCCGGACGCGCAATCCTGCTAAATTGATACCAATGACGTAACCCTTGAAATTACCAACGACTTAAAACATTCAAAAATGACATAATACACCCTTTTTTCATTTTTATTCCAAAAATTTTTCAATTGTTTTTTTCATTTATTTTTAACTTGATTAACGATTTTACGTGTTTTCGATAATCGGTTGTAATCAAATTGTGAAGATTGAAAGGATTCACTGCTGCCACTTGCGGTTCGGACAAAACTAAAAAGTCAAAAACAGCGAAAATAGACGGACCTAATCACAAATGTTAAACATTCACTCTCATCAGCCAACACTCCAACAATTGTCAATGTGTGGTGATTAGTGACCGTTAGTCGATAATTATTCAGAAATCGTGAGATGCGGTCTGGTGTGATGTAGGTTTCAGAAAAACATTTTCTTTATCGTGCCAACGTTTCGATCNACTTTGAGTGAGTAGAAATACTTTGATTGAATATATAAAAAATATATTTTGCATTGTATAAATTCACTTTTCCACATCCAAAATGTAATTGTTATATGTAAACATTGTTTGTAAATCCCAGGCCCTGAAGATGATCTCAATAAAGATCGAAACATTGGCACGATAAAGAAAATGTTTTTCTGAAACCTACATCACACCAGACCGCATCTCACGATTTCTAAATAAATAACAATTGTCAATTTTGCACCTAGTTCCGCCATAAAGCAATGATGACATTTCTGATTTATTTCCAGTAAGCACTGGAGTAAAGCAAGGCCCCCTTTTAAGCCCTCTACATTTTTCTTTATTCTTAAATGAGTACTGACTATAGAATTAGACTTTGAAAAAAAGTATACAATGGTAGTATTTTGCCACTTTTCCGATGGTTAACACAACCAAACAGTTTTTTCCTATATTGAATTGATTATTGAAGAATTTTCTTGCTTTTCTTGAAAAAATTGACCCAACTCCGATCTTTGTACATTTCCTTTGATATTGTCAACAGATCTGAAAAAAAATTGTTATTTATTAAAAAAATGTATATGCACTTACTACTTGTTCTTCGTTCTTCTCGTGTAGAAATGTGTAGTGTTTAGTGACTGAGCTCCAAACAATCATTAATCAACGGCCACTAAATGCACTTACTAGTATACAGTTTGGCCATTCTTGGATCCATATAGAGAGCATGTAGGCCATCCGATATAAGAATTGCGTTTGAACAGGGCAGTAAATATTGGAGTCTCCTGTCACATTTTGAAAAGAAACAGAGGTGTTTTTACTGCATATAGTACTTTATACACATATATTTATATTGAGGCCGAAAGTACTTATTAGCGTGAATATGTAATGTGAGAGGGTCAACGGCCATGCTAGATCGGAACACAGGCACTTAATTTTGAGCCAAAGCCCTATGTTATTCAATGTGTCCCACATAATTGAAGGTTGTCATTCTTTGGCTCCTTATAAGTAGCGTGTAGGCCACCCATGAAAATTTTGCTTGAGCACAGCGATTTTTTTGGTCGCATGTTCCAATTTGTAGAGGAAACAGGATCAGCTCTGTACCCGTATGTAGGTAGACCCTTGTAATCTTTAGATGCCATAAGTTCTCTGGTTGGAAGGGTTATCATAGAACGCGCACGTGCGTGTAGGTGTGTGTGGGTGTGTGTGTCGACGACCTTCGGCTGGGTTCGAATCCCACTCTTGACACTTGCTTTTTCATCTCAACCTTAGATTAAAAATATAATTAAATAATAGGGTCAATTATGACTACTAAATACATATATGGTTTAAGCTACTAGTAGATCCCCGTTTTTTAAGACATTTAAGGCTATTTGCAACAATTCGACCAGACGGGCTGGATTTGCCGCTGATTATTATGTCGATTTCATCTATGTACTCTAGCTCTTCACTGCCAGGTTGTCCACTACTAGTGATTGTACGGTTAGTGGTAGTACTCCTATTGGGTGCACCCTTTCATTGGTTATATTGTAAGTTTTTCGTCCCTTAGTTCTAATTTTATATTTTCGGCTAATTATGATACTATTTTCTAATGATATGTATCCATTGTATAATCTATGGTTTTAGTCTTTTATTGGTATCAAATAATTGGTATCCAAAAAGTATCTTCGTATCCAAAAAGTATCATTTGGATGCCACCACCAGGCATGCAGCTAGCAACTCGCTAATCTCATTACACGGTTATGTTGCCTTACCCTGCTTATATCCCTGATTAGAAGAAAATTAAGAATTAAATTATAAGAACGTAAATGTAAGATGAAAGTGTTGTTATATATGTTTGAAAGGAAAAGGACAAAATCACATACTTATTTTTGAAATACATTGAAATTTTAACCATTAAATTCAGTTCCTTTTTTTAGATAAATTTTATTTTCTTCTAGCTAACAATGAAAAACTTACTAATAATATTTTGGCGTTAATTATACTTATTTATTTTTTTAAGTAACAATTATAAATTATTTGGTGAAATTAATTTGTATTTTTCAGTTTGCGGTGACGATTGAGACGACACGGACACCGGGTAACCAATCAGGGAAATCCCTTCCGTTTCTTATCACCGCGTCCTTGGAGGTTACACATTCAATCACTGTTACAACTTTTATTTTCAAATGGGGCAAAATGAACTGCACGAAATCCATGATTTAATCGTCCTTTATATTATTTCACGGCTGTTTTTCTCTCTTCGAAGTCTTCGGCATTCTTCACAGACCAGATATGAAATTTACAGAACATTTGATTGCCCACATCACGCCGGAATGGAGAAAACAGTACGTCAATTACGAGGTCAGTATGCTTATGAAGTTAATTTTCTCGTTTCCTTATATCAGCGATGTTCAACGAGTTTTTGTGAATGACTTCAATGTGATAGACCCTACATTACGGAATAAAACATACATGTCAATCAAAATAATGTAGTTTGTTTATGATTTAATGATATCAATCGGTTGGAGTTTAAACCTTTAAATGAATACTAGATAAACAAGAATCAGCAATGACAAATCTGCTTTCAAAGATGGTTATGCAATTTTTTTCGATATTTTAGTACGTAGTTTGATGTTCTTTAAGTCTAGCCTGATATTTATTTGAAATTTTGACCGTTTTTATTCAGCCTATCTTTGCTGGGTTGGCCTGACAGATGTACTTCATCATTCCGCCATCTTCAGACTGTCTGTGCCACGAGGATAGAAAGGATAGGAAGATCAGTAACAAAATTACAGGGTTCACCACAGACCACTGGGAGAAATCTTGTATTTTAGATATTACAGATTTCCTTTGGGTCTGAGGAGTGATGAGCTTGCAGTTAGGTCATTGTCAATCATTTTGGTTCACCTATCTTTCCAATCTTGGTCTAGGACCCAGCAATAAAGATTGTGGTGAAGTCGAAACATGTCTGACAAACCAACCTACTGAGAACAGGTAGACCAAAATGATCAGTTACAACCAAATTACAGGTTCACCACCCTTCAGGCCAAAGAGAAATCTCACAAATTAAGTATGTATTTGTCAGATTTCCTTTTGGGTATGAGATATAATGAAAACGTAGTTTGGTCATTTATAGATAATTTTGGTTAGCCTAACGTTGCTGTTTTGATCTGGAGTCAGCCAGATGGTGTGAAGTCTAAACATGCCTCATAGACCATCACGGCAAGGATAGTCAGACTAGAATGATAATTGTGACTAAATTACAGGTTCACATCACCATTGACTATAGAGAGAAATTTCATAATTTATTAATTATTCATAATTTATTAGATATTGTCAGATTTCCTTTTGGGGTCTGGTGGGTTAAGCCTGTGGGTTGGTCATTAACGATAATTTTTGTTTGCCTATTCTTGTTATTTTGTTCTGGTATCCAGCACTAAATACGGTGAGGAGGTAAAACTTGTCTGGCAGACCAACCCATTGAGGATAGGCAGATTAAAATTATCAGTAACGACCAAATTACAGGTTCACCATGCCAAAGACTACAGAGAGAAATCTTACAATTTAGATATTTATTTGTCAGGTTTCGTTTTGAGGTCTGAGGAGTTATGATTCCATAGTTTGGTTATTTCTGATAATTTTGGTTCAGCTATCATTGCTACTTTGGTCTGAGGTGCAACACTAAAACTGGTGTGGTCAAAATACGACCAACCAAGGGAGGATAATCACTAATACTACTAATAGGATAACTAATAGGATCAGTAATGATCAAATTAAAGGTTCACCACAGATTACAGAGAGGAATTTCACAATTTATGCATTTATTTTAAGATTTCCTTTCAAGGTATTTTATTTTTTCCTGTAGTTTGATCATCAATGATAATTTGGATTAGCATGTATTCACTGTTTTTGCTTAGCTAGGGCCCAGCACTAAAATAGTGAGAAGTCAAAACGCTTCTGACATAACATACAGCAAGGGTAGGCAGACCAAAATTACCAGAAACGACCAAACTCCAGATTATGCTTTGTTGATTTATTGAAATATAAAAAATACCCTAGATAATTTGTGGACTTGTGTTTACTTTTTGCCACATACAAATCACATTTACTCTATATTGTGTCAATTGAAATTAAGAATGTATGAAGGTGTTCAGGTAAACAGTGATGAAATTCATAAAAGTTGAAGGGTTATGAAGTTTTATGAAAATTCATAAAAACAAATTTTATTTCTTAGCTTTTGGTGATACCAACCCATCATCGAAAGCAGTCTTATAATTATTTCAATTTTGATGACTAAATTTTGAGAATTGTTAAAAATCAAGATTTAGGATTTTATTTAACCTCATATAAAAATTCGAGGCCCATTTATAAAATGGTCATTTCTTATAAATTTAACAACATTAATAATGATTATGGAAATGTTCAAATTAAGGACAAATTTTTTTTTAGTTTTCTGTTTTTTTCTTGTCTTGTTAAATATCTTGTATTTTGGATTTGAATGAGTATCAAGCTTTTCCAACTTTATATTTTTTAATTGTAAATGCGTACTTAATACTCATTCAAATCCACATGTTTGTTAGTTTTCATGAAAAATTAAATAGTGGGTGCCGATAGTTGCAATTATTAAGGCGTTGACATGGAGACTCATCACTGTAAGGGTCCTGGATGTGAGTGGTCCTGAATTCAAACCCAACGTACTTACAAATGAGCTTTTTCTTTCTTTTTTTCCCCCAAAAATACCACAACACCCCGGGTTTGATACAACCTCTTTTGCTACCGTAATAAATAAATAAAACAGTGATACCAAATTATTGTAATGATTTTACTTTTTTTTTTTTTAGAAAGAATTTTTCCGCATTCCATTATATTTGTGCACATATTATTCGCATTCAAATTAATGATTATTCCTATGTCCTTTAGGAAATGAAGCAAATGCTGTATGCAGCTGTAGAGACAGCCCCTTCAGCAGAACTTGTGGAACCTGAAGTTTTGACACGATACTTTGCTAAATTCGATGAACGTTTTTTCCATTATTGTGATAAGGAATTAGCAAAGATAAACACATTTTTTTCTGGTAATATATTTTTTTAAATATTTTGTATTAGAATAGAAAAAATTGCTTTGTAATACAAAGTTCTTTGGCATTGTACCTATATATACCAAACACAATGTATATATGTCAATTAAAAATTATCCCATTATATTATTTTTGTAGAAAAATTAGCCGAGGCGACTAGAAGATATGCAAGCTTAAAGAGCGAACTGAGTGAAGCCATTGAATCTGAATACCAAGGAAAGAAGAAAGAAGGACAGAGGAAAATGATGTTAGGCAGGGTCGATTTACCCGTGCGGAAGCAGCAAGATTTGAAATTGGCATTTAGCGAGTTTTACCTTAGTCTGATCCTATTGCAGAATTACCAAAATCTCAATTTTACAGGGTTTAGAAAAATATTGAAGAAACACGATAAGGTAATGTTTTTGGTATTTAAAATAGCATAGGTTTAGCAACAATAATAGTCGATTGGATAGTTACATATAATATTTTTAGAAGTAGCTTCACATAAAAGTAAAATAGATCTAATTAAAAATTAAATTTATGTTGTTACCTGTCTGATCTAATACCGTATTTTAATTATGATTTTAATTTTTATTTGTTTATTTTCTTCTATTACTTCCTCACTTTAGCTAAAAATTGGGTTTTTACTGTTTCAATACCAGAATACAAAGTAAAATAAGAGTTGTCTTGGTATAGTCTTATCCATCCCTAACCATTTAATGTAAACCAAATTAAACAAGATCAGAAATTCGTGAGTTTTAATAAAAATGATTTAATTATGACAGTTTGAAAGAAAATTTACCAAAATACTGGAAAATCATTTAGTGATAAAGTAAAATTCAACTAACAATTTATTACCTAGTTTTGCTCTCTCCTAGGCATCGAGTAAATAAGCAATTGGATTTCTTCTTGTGAAACAATGAGCGATTTGAAGCTGTTCAACGCTTGTTCAGCAATTTCCAACCCATCTGTTTATCATGTCCCATCAGTGTTCTATAGGATTCATGTCAGGAGCACATAATCTGGCCAATTCCTACATCCTCCAAAATGGCGACAACTCGAGCTACATGCGGTCAAACATCATCATCCATTAATACGAATTTCCTCATGTACCTTAGTGCTGTCAAAGATCCATTCTATATGATGGACATGGACATTGATTCCATTCCTTACCATTATTGACAACCTTTGAGAAGGCTGTGACTCATGCATGGCACATGAAGCAAACCATTCTTCACGTCTTCTCCACTCACAGACCCAGTCATCTGGTTGCCACAAACCAAACCGTCATTCCACTATGAAGAGAGCAGCCCCCATTGATCAACTGTACAAGCGAGATGCTGATTTGCGAATAAGTTTCTTTTTTACTTGATGCTCTAAAGTACTAGAGAACACGATGCAGGACATCTAAAGACTAGGCTATTCTCACAAAGCCTTGTCATGAACCTTCATTACAGACCACATGGAGTTGACTATCAAGGAAGTCATTAAATGACAATTCTGTAGTGCTGTAAGAGCACAATTGTCTCTAACTGTTGAACGTCACAGTCGAGCATGGTACACCCAGGACTTGGGCTATGTAATAGACACTAAGCCTGTCGTTGGCCAAAGCATCTGGCCGGGTAAAAATTTTCTCGACTTAAAACCATGCTTTTAAGAAAAAAATTATAATTTTTTACTCAAAGAAAACCAATTTAAAAACCATTAACGACAAGTTGATTCTGGAAAGGATGAAAATGAATGGATTTTCATTATTTTTAATTTAAAGAGTGTAAAAGGATTAGTAACACTCTATGAAGGTATATGACAATTTATTAATGTTGTGTTTACATTTTAAGTAAACTTAATCTTTATACATAGTTATTATGGAAAATAAACAAACACATTCAAGATCTTTGAGTGTGTATACTGTAAAGTCTATCCTGATTTGTAAATTATGTGTATGCATAAATAGAATGCATGTCAAATTTCATTTATGAAGCTTTTTTTCTGTTGTTAGTGTATTTTTGTCCTTGAGGTAATGTGCTGTTTGAAGTTTTACTAGGGCACATCATTTTCCAACTGGTGGACGATTAACGATAATCACTTAGATGATTAGTTTATCTATTTTTTTGCCAATGTGTTTATGAATTATCAGGGTTTTTTGTCACGTCACAATTTTTTTTTTTTTTTTATAAAGTTGGTATAGAATAACCAAGTTAATGAATTTACATCGTTAAATTTTTGACGTCACTTTGAAGAGAATTATTTCATTTAGTGAACTTAATTAAATAAATAAAAAAACCTGTGGAAAATACACAGGTTGAATAGAATATAATGTGATTTATTATTCTCCCACTGACTTGAAATGTGTTTGGTCATTTATTGTTTATGTAGCTACATGCATTTTTATATAAAATGTCCCGTTTTGTCATTAATCGGAATTCACTGGGCAGAATAGACACAAATCCAGCTACCAACAGATTCAGGGAAGAACAAATTTTAAATAATTTAGGAAAACTTTTATTTGGAAAACATCAAAAGAACCCGAAAAATTCATCATTACAATCTTAATATTTAAAATGACATTGCTCCTCGGATGAGAGCAGTTGTGAATATGGAAGAAATAAAACTTAAAACTTGATTTCTGATAGGTTGGTTACATGGTGAACCGTTGGTAAAATACTTAATGGTCAAAAAATGCAGTGCTGTTTATCAAACAATGTTCATCTGTTAGTCTACACTTTCACCCCTCGATCCAAAGATTGTAACGAGGTGAGCAGATTATTATTCGCAACATTATGGTGTTGGAAGGGTGCATATTTCATATTATTGCAAACCGTTAATGGTTTTTCTTTTTATTAATAAAACTATTGAAAATTGTAGGGTTATTTATATTTTTTACTTGTTCCATAGGCTCTACTGATATAACAATAAGAATTAATTCATCTTTCTAAATATAGTTTTAATAATAATTACAAAAACATTTGATGATAAACCATTTAATGTAATTTGTATTCAGACTTAAAAAAACATGAGTACATGCATTATTTTCATTAAAAGTAATTACGAAAAAACATTCTTGACTCTTTTAATTTCTTCTTTGTATTAATTATGCATTTCTATAGTACTACCATCTTCATATCTTACTAACAATATAACTTTATAAACTATTTACAAGTTTACTAATTGTTTAATATTTTGTCATTTTTAAATAAGTGGGATTATTTTAAATTTGTAATGTAAAGAATGATTTATGACAATACTCATGATGTTAAAAATTTTTTATGGGATATTAATTTTTAATTTTAATATTTTCAGTTATTAAATGTAGATTACGGGGCTCGTTGGCACAACGAGCATGTGGTAACTTCTCATTTCCACACCAACAAAGATATTTCACGACTGATAGCAGAAACCGAGTCAACAGTGACAAATGATCTGGAAGGTGGAGATCGTCAGAGGGCGATGAAACGTCTTCGAGTCCCTCCTCTCGGTGAAAAACAAAGCCCATGGACGACTTTCAAAGTTGGCTTATTTTCTGGATCGTTTATTGTTTTAATATGTGTTGTAATTTTATCTGGTTAGTGTTTTATTTTTTTAATTTTGAAACAATAATTTGTTTAATAAATGAAATTTATATCGGTTTCAGGTTTATTTCATCCAGACACAAAAGGCGACTGGAGAGTATCAATTAGACTTTTTAGATGTCCTTTACTTTTAGTGGAATTTATATTTTTAATGGGAGTCAACGTTTACGGTTGGAGGTCGTCGGGTGTAAACCATGTCCTTATATTTGAATTAGACCCGAGAAATCATCTGTCAGAGCAACATATCATGGAAGTGGCGGCAATTTTCGGAGTAATCTGGACTTTAAGCGTATTGAGTTTTATTTATGCAGAAGCGTTGGGCATTCCGGCTTTTGTAAATCCTTTAGTCTTGATGGGCATCATGGTCGCCTTTCTGCTTAATCCGACTAAGACTTTTAGGCACGAAGCTAGATTTTGGGTTCTGAGGGTTTTGGTAAGTAAAACTCGGTCAGCTTTCAACTAATGTTTTGTTTTTTAACAAATTTAAGGAAACATGATTTCATAAAATTTCAAACATTTACCCAGGATCAATATTTTAGCATAGAGCATGTAGGATTAGTTTAAGTATCTTGCATATTCATTTTATTCATAAAAATATTAATAAACAACAAAATATAATCAATATTGTCATTTAACATCATGGCACATTTCATTGATAAAAATTAAATAAATTCAAAATAAAAAGTTATATTCGATTAAAAAACAATAAACCAATTTTGAATATAGATTTTTTTTTATTGTTTTCAGGGAAGGATTTTTGCATCGCCATTTTTCTACGTCGGCTTTGCTGACTTTTGGTTGGCTGATCAGCTTACAAGCCTTGTTCCTGCATTGGTCGATCTAGGATTTTTCGCTTGTTTTTATATAAAACTAGATGATTGGTATAGAGTCGGAGGTGATTGTCATGTTGCATTGATTTAAAAAAAATGTACATTAAAAACAATCTACTGCTGTTTTAGAAACGTCAGGCTCAGTTTGTATATCTAAGTACCACCACATTCGCCTTGTGATAGCTTGTCTTCCATCATGGTTCCGCTTTGCTCAATGCCTGAGACGTTACAGAGATACTAAGGAAAAATTTCCCCATTTGGCAAATGCCGTAAAATACGCTACGTCTTTTTTCGTTATTATATTTTCCCACTTGTACCTACTGACAAGCCATCAAACAGGTAATAAAACTGACTAATATTTCTTTAATTTTATAAGTTTGGTGTATTTTTTATTTTGTTAATTTTTTTTTTTTTTCCAGAGTCTATTGGTATTGCGGCAAACCCTTATTTTTATTTGTGGATATTCGCCTCAATGGTCAGCACAAGTTACTCCTATACTTGGGACATTAAAATGGATTGGGGTCTTTTCGACAAGAAATGCGGCGATAATAAGTTTCTTAGGGAAGAAGTTGTTTATTCATCAAATGTAAACAAAAATTCCTATATATTTCTCATACGTCAATCTCTATTTAATTTTTGTTTCTTTTACAGTGGTATTATTATTTTGCAATTATTGAAGATCTCATTTTAAGATTCGGCTGGGTCCTTTCTATGTCACTTACAGAAATGGGCTACATCCATTCTGAACTTATGGTAGCAATATTAGCGCCGCTTGAAGTTTTCAGGTAATTGTATGTAATTTTTCTTTTTTTCTTTTTCTTTAAATTAATTTATTATTGAAAAACAAAATGGGCAAATTCTGTTTGTATTATTTTAAATTAAGATATTTCGAGCTAGTATATTTTTTAATAGGTAAAATTGAAATGTTTCAATGCATTATAATGTATTGTAGCATTATTACAAGGTCTACTTTAGTCTTCCTCATGAAAAATAAAAGATTAAGAACTGAAAAGAACATCGAACAAATAAGAAATATTTTAATAACAATTAATTATTGTTTAAGTGTAATTTAAAAAAAAGATCTTACAAACTTATTAATTTAAGATTATTTAGAGAATGTCAGATGCAGGCTGGTGTGATGTAGGTTTTGAAAAACATTTTTTTTTATTGTGCCAACGTTTCGATCTTTATTGAGATCATCTTCAGGGCCTGGGATTTACAAACATTGTTTAAATTATACAAACACGTATCAGATGTTAATATGAATTTATACAATGATGTACACAATATAGAAATTTAAGGTTTAATCAAAGTATTTCTACTCACTCAAAATGTGTGTTTTCGGTGTAGATGTGTCATTATTGAGAGTGTTAGTGAGATAATGTTTGTGACCACCCAGTTTGGTCACATTAATTGCCTGTCCTTTTATTGTGGAAAGACAAGGGGTTTTTTTTTGGGGGGGGGACCAGGGATACACGAATTAGTCATAGATATTAAGAGGTGTTTATTTTAAAGGAAATTATTTAAACAATCATAGGGTAATTTCAACAAACTTAGGGGAAATAAACAAAAGGGGTATCCATCTGCATTGAAAAGGGGAACGGTTTTACATCTAAGATTGCAATTACTGATTTAAAAAAAGGATTTAAATTTACCAAAAGGGAAAAAATATTTACTGAGCCAGTGCTCTCCAGAGCGGAAAAAATAAAATAATAACTAAATTCACTAACTTCGTGGTCCGCTTGACCAATTAATATATTACAATTAATTAAGGTTTTTAGATGAGATAAAGGGGGTTGAGGTGGGAGGTTGGTGTCCGAGTGGATCGAGGTCACGATGGCTCAAGTGGCAGAGCAGCAGCGTATCTAGCTGAAGATCGTGGGTTCAAATCCCGCTCGTGCCATTGACTTTTTTATCTCAACTAAAAAACCTTAATTAATTGTAATATATTAATTGGTCAAGAGGACCACGAAATGAGTGAATTTAATGATATAAAATGAAGTATACTTCACTAAAGCTCTCCATCGCCATTTCATTTGTCGCCGAAAATCCAATCCGATTACACGACATTTGAAAAATGGCAAAAAGGAGAGAAAATTCGAAAGGTGGGGTTGAGGTGGGAGGTTGGTGTCCGGAGTGGATCGAGGTCACGATGGCTCAAGTGATAGAGCAGCGGCGTATCAAGCCGAAGATCGTGGGTTCAAATCCCGCTCGTGCCATTGACTTTTTTATCTCAACTAAAAACCTTAATTAATTTTAAAATAATAACATTCAAACACAGCAGCAACAATCAATATGCCTTACCGCGATTTGAGTTTAAAATTTCTTCCTTCCCATAAGAGGGCCAGAGCAACACTCCTAATCTCCCAATTCGCACTTTCCTCTTCATATCACAAAACCCTTTGTCAAGTCGCCAAATAGCAAGGAAGACCTGTTGTTGGAACGCCGGCCGTTGCACTACGACTTTGAGGATTGCCATCTGCGTAATCTGTTTCACATTGTCAAAATAAAAAAAGTTTCAAAAATAGCTGACATTGAGGAAATGTTCCTTGGGGAGGAGGAAGAAGAAGAGGTGTTGACTGCTAAAGCAGTATTGAATGTTATAAACGAAGCTTGGAGCAATGAAAAGCCAAGCCCAGAATTACTGCATGAGGGTGCTCCGTTTGTTTATATATGTTGGATTTTGAAGAAGTAGGGATAGAAATCCAGTTTTCTAGGAGGAGTCGGCTTCTTTGAGGTGCAAGTGGCCTACAATGGGAAAAACTGGTAATGATTTGACATTCGGGCTTAGTTATCTTTTCAAGATTATTATAGACAGGATTAATAAAATTAATTATGGATTAATGCTAATAAAAAGGAGAGATAAATTATTGAAGATTTAGACTATGTAGAATTGTTTGATGTGTGGAATGTAATGATTGTTTTACATGTTGTATTATATGCTTTGTGTATGTTATTGATATAGAATTTGATTAATGATAGTGTAGCTGCTACTTAGTTTACATCTGTCTGTTCTATAATTGATGCTGTGTTTATCTCTGTTGATGTAAACTATTTCCAAAAAGTTACGTTTATGTTTGTTTTGTTCTGTTTAATATTTTTGGATTGTTGAAATTGAAATTGTGTTGGTGTTCAAAATGATGGGTAGCCAGTGCTGTAGGATTTTGTTTGAGTTTTTTGCCCTCTTATCCAGATATTGGGATGTAATTTCGATGTAAGTTTCTGGACAATTGATTTTGCAAATTACATCAGATTTATTTGTTACTGGTGTGGGATCTCTAATTTTGGAAAAAAAAGAGTGTGAATAGTTTTATAGTTTTTGAAGGCTATGTTAAAGTTATCAGAAGAAAGAAATGTGTTTAATTTGTGTGATAGTAGTGTGATGTACATCTGAATGAATGGCATGGGTATGTGGAAGGAAGTTACGGTAATAGATACACCCGAATGACAAAATTATAGACACATTAAAAAATCACGATTTCAACAGTCAAAAATGATTTCTTTTGCCGTTAGAATATTGTTCATGATATTAAAAGAAAATTAACTCTGAAAATGGCTTGATCTGATAATCTTATACAAATGTACATCTCAATAAACAGTATTGTTTTGATTTAGCTGCGACAGAATTATAGACACACATTTTGTTTACGTTTATTTTATAACTCCAAATAAAAATGAATAAATCATTCAGTATTCACTGTACCTTAGTAAAGTGATTACTGTGAGTTATTTGGAGCAATTCAAAGTTATTTTAAAATGCCCAAAGGAAGAAAATTTTCTGATGAGGAGCACTGGTTGATTCACTTGCTCAATGAAGATGGAATGAGCTGTCGAGATATCGCCCGACGCATAAAACGAAGTTTTTCATCGGTATCGAAGATAATACGACTAGGTGAAAACTACGGTAGAGGGCATAGCTCTGGAAGACCTCCTTCCTTGACCAGAAGAGACAAATCGCACATCCTGCACGTTGCTTCAAACAGCTTTTCAACTGCAAAAGCCATCGCAGAGAAGGCAGGTGTTGATGTTTCTGTTCGAACTGTTCAGAGATTCCTTAAAAAAACTGAAAACATAGTCTGAAGAAAACTGAAACGCAAACCAGCTCTGAAACCCCACTACAAACTAGCCTGTGTCAAATTTACTGAAAACCACATTTTAAAAATTAAGATTATTGGCGAAAAGTTATTTTTTCTAACGAAAAAAAAATTCAATTTGGACAGATACGCATACTACTTTCATGACCTAACTAAAGAAGAAAAAAATTTTGTCACGGCGCCAAATAGGTGGTGGATCTTTGATTGGGTGTAATAAAAAAGGGAATCTTTGTTTTCTTCCAAAACACATCAATTCGGAATATTACAAGAAATTACTGGACAAAGAAAAAACTAGTTCAGCAATTTATGCGAAGGGACTCCAATGTTCCAGCAGGACAACACACCCATACACAATGCAAAAATTGTTAAAGAATGGTTTTCACAGAACAGCATTGAAAAACTTGAATGGCCTGCACTCTCACCAGACTTAAACATTATAGAAAATGTATGGGGAAAATTATCGGGGATGGTATATCAAGACTGTAAGCAGTACAACAATGTCAACGAACTTAAAACAGCTGTCACCACTGCCTGGAATAATTTGCCTCAAGATTTTATTCAAAATTTGTACAAAATCATTCCAGAAAGATTACTGGAAATAATAAAACTGAGTGATAATGCCACAAAATATTATAACCTTGTTTTAAATTGATTTTATCCCATGTGTCTATAATTTTGTCGCAGACAAAATCGTTTAATTTTAGTATTTTAATAATTTTTTCTCTTATTTACTGAAAAAATAAAGTTTATGTGTTTTGAATAAATATTTGTAGTACAAACCCATTACATTAAAAAATCATAACAATTAGGGGTGTGTCTATAATTTTGTCACTCGGTTGTAATTATGTCTGCAAGTATTGGGCCTAGGTTGCTGCCCACGGCTATGCCAAATAGTTGTTGGTAAAAATGATTGTTGATGTGTGTAATGTATTCGTTCAAAACAATGGTTCGACACTGCTGTATTAATGATTATCTTATTATCTCTAAATAATCATTAATTAATGGCCACTAAACACCACACATTATTAATTTAATTATAAAACAAACAAATAATTTTTCTAGAAGTCCATTTTTTCCACACATTCTGTAACTTCTTGGATTTTGTGATGAGCCTGTAAGTTGGCCGTTACCGATTATCCTAGTAACAAAGAGACGCATCACAGTAAAGATAGGCAGACCAGTATTAGTAACGACCAAATTACTGGGATTTTGATTGAATAGTCACTCGTCTAGTTCAATTTTTACATTTTACAATGTATTAAGCTTTTTCCCATTAAGGAACAGACTGGGAGAAAGGGATCTCAGCTGTTGTGTACTGTATGGTATACAGATGGCTCTAAAGCTGGGTTTCCAGTGTGCGAAAAAATCCCTTGAGCAATTAAATACGAGAATCATTTGTGAAACGCCATCTCAGGTTAACCATTTCCAGGAGGTGAAACATTTCACAACATAGAAATAAAAGAAGGTGAACCATCAATTTGCGTGAGACAAGCATACGATTTATAACTACACCAATTGCTGCATCAGCGTTTGCTATCATGGCGATACTTTTTGCCTTTGTTCCATTTTGATGCTCATCTCCTCCCACGCAACCTCTCTCTTGTTATGATGAGTTTTATCTTTAGCATCTTACAAAAAGCCAGTCAGCTCACGCCGAAATATCCTCCAAAAGTTTTGCAGTCCAAGTATCTGCAACGCAAAACAGTTGCACAAGTGATTGCGCAATGGAAACCTGGCTTAAGACTCAGTATGGATCAGGAGTTAATATCTGTGGAAATAAACCAAGGACTAGAATTCATATAAACCAAACCACTGTCTTTCAAGTGGGCGGTGGGTGGACTTCTTGGGCGGAGTTGGCGCAACCCGAAAGGGTGAGCTTGTGAAACCTTGGGGACACCCATTGCCCGAAGATATGGGAGATACTGACCACCTCATCCCAGAATATACTCATGTGGAAAAGGGTACCTGAGAATGAAAGGTTTTTAATCCGGGAAGTGTGTAGGGCAGGCACACGGCTTGGAATTATCCCTCGAGGTGAGGTGGTTGGGATGATGGTCGGTTTGTTTGGTGCTTGAACGATAATTCTCACCTCTCTCATCCACCCAGAGGAATCGTCTCTCGATATTTGTGGACCACAGTGCCAAAGGGTGGTACATTACTCCTGGGGCGTGCCTCTCAAAATTTTTTAAGTTTCGACTGAGTTCAAACTCGTAAAACAATTACGCAAAAATCAAGCTTTGGCATCTTAGTAAAGACTGAATTATTCCCAGCCGAAATATAAATAAACCATAAAATAAATAAAAAGATTTGATTTAAAATTTGTTATTTACATCTGTATTCTATAATTATTTTTTCCAAACATTTGTTTTGTAATTCACCCAGGCCCTGAAGATGACCTGAATAAAGGTTTAACATTAGGAAAAATGAGAGAGAATTCTTTATTCTAGGACTAGAGTCCACTAAGAATAACAATAAGTTCACAAAAAGTTTATAAATATGGTACTTGAATTAACAAAGGGTTTGACATTACCATATAGTGAAATAAAATTGCATAAAAGACAATACAAAATATAAAAAGATAGTAATAATAGTATCAGTAATAAGAATTTAGGGAAAAATAATAATAATAATATCTTGTGCAAACATTATCACAAACTGTAAACTTAAAACTTGAGAAAAAAATAAACAAGCTTTGTTATGTAATAAAAGCGCCTAATAATGTGTACTATGTTGGCTATGTTTCCTGGAGGGAGATATGTTTGTACAAAAGGGATTTAAAAGAAGTAAGAAAGGCGGCTTTGTAGACGCAAAGGAAGAAAATTCTAGAGATTTGTGGCTAGGAAGGATTGTACAGATGTGGAGGTCATTGGAAGACGAGCGGGGTTAAGAGATTGGATGGATGATTTGAATTGAACTAGTCAGAAAATATAGTAAGGTCGACGAGGATTTAGGGGTTAGTAAAGGAAGTTGCTTAGGAAATATTTCCTACGGAAGGAAGGATAAAGACAGGATAGATCTGATTACAGGTGTGAGACTCTGGACACTCAGGGGCTGCCAAATATAAATCTGACACAACTGTTCATTCGTCTTTTTCAGACGCTTTTCTTGAAAATGAAAAGTGTTTTTCTTACACACTTCATTCCTGAAAATTATTCATAAATAACATTGTCAATAGGATACAGAAAGTGTTTTTGATTGGTATGCAGATAGAAGAAAACGCTTCAAAGCCTGAAATTCAAGGTGTTTCGTCTGCAGTTCTCGTTATCTAGTTTTGCTATACTGCAAAAACCTTTCACAAAACGACATCATAAACTTAGGGAAACTATAAGAATTGGTGACTCAAATATTAGCTGGAGTAATAATGTTCAATACCTTGATTTACACCACAATAGTAAACTTAATTTTGGTGTCAACACTTACAATAAAGCTCGTGACACTGACTTTTTTATCTCAACTAAAAACCTTAATTAATTGAAAGATATTAATTGGTCAAGCAGATCACAAAAACTAGCAAACTTACAATATATCTATCTATCTATAATGTTTTAATTTAAAAATAAATAAATGAAATATTATAAAATATCTGTCCTAAGCTTATTCCCTATTGCAAGTTGTTTTTTCAAAATAAATTTTTCTCCACTTTTTATTTATTTATTTAGGCTAAATTAGTAATTCTTGTAAATATAGTAAGTTTTTTTCCGCCCAGTGTTAGAAGTATCAACCATTTTTCACTCACGAACTCTGGATCAAGGTACTTAAATATGTCAATTTGTGTACATATTTAAGATTGTTTTGTCCTGATGATGACCTTAAAAATAAGTCGATAGCTCAGCAGAAACAACTGAATTTACTTTCTTCTTCAAGACTATACCTTGATCCAGTGTTCATGATTAGGAAGTATAATAACCCTAGCCATTTTCCCTTGTATTTACTTTTTCTTTACAATGTACGTTCATATTCCCGGATAATGAGAGTCAGTTGTATGTTACGTGGTAAAATTGAAATTTATAGGCCATAATTTTTAAATTATGGCCTATAAACTTCAACTTTAGATTGAATAGAATTTTAACTCTTAATATAGAATATTCTGTAATAATAATAACCCTACTATTAGGTATATTTTCGCTATTGAATGAACGTTCTGTTTATTTTCAGAAGATTTGTCTGGAACTTCTTCCGACTTGAAAATGAACATTTGAACAATTGCGGTAAATTTAGAGCAGTGCGCGACATTTCGGTCGCGCCTATGGACACATCGGATCAAGCTGTCATACTGCGTATGATGGACAGCGCAGAAGGAGTATTTAATAGGCATAAAAAGAAAGGGAAAAATAAAGATACCAAACTACTTTTAGAAGCGGACGAATCAAATGATGAGGTAGATATTAGATGAGACTAATAGATCTTTAGTATTCATATTGGGTTGTCCGGAAAATAATGCAGGATTTTGGTATTAAACAAAAAAAAGAAACTAGTTACTTTAAAGCAATGTTCTTTAATCAAAATAATTTCCCATACTCTCAATACATTTCTCCCAACGTGTTGGTAACTTATTAAATCCCGNCATTCATACAAATGAGTAATCCTGTAAACGTAAACAGAATATTTTATATAGATTTTTTTTAATGAAAACTTAAAATCCTGCATTATTTTCCGGACAACCCGATAGTTAGGCAGGTTGTAAATACTTATAAAAAGTGAGTAATTGTGCCTTGTTCACAAATTAAAATTTAAAAATAATCAGGATTTATTAAATTATAAAAATTGTATATTTTTACTTCTACTTTAAAATTTTATTTTTCTAACGGTCAGAAAAGTCCTTGATGTATGTAAACCCTGTTTTCTCCAATTAGTTTCCTGAATTAATTGTAATCTAGTCATTCTACTTAAATTTGTACTTAATAATTTATTTATTACTATTTATTTTAATGAACCTATGTACTTATTTATTTAAAAAAAAAAAATTAGTTTGTAGATAATTTTTAAGTACCTGATATAGTTTAAAAAAATAAATGCTTGTTTTGTAAGTGAAATTAAAACTAGTCTAGTTGTAATTAATGTATTTATTTCTGCATGCACGAACCATAATCCTTAAAAGATCAAATAAAGAGATGAATTTATTATTTTTAAGGTTTTATTATTCATTTATTCAAATCCCACTTCCTCTAGTATTATTTAATGACTCCAATTAATAACGCCAAAAATGTAAACGTAAACGTATAACCCAGATGCGTCAAGATCAAAACAACAAAACAGTTTGACATTAAATTTAAAATAATTAAAAATTATTCAACACTCTCCATATTTTTGTGTAGAACTAGCAAGCATATTAGATGCTCTCCAGTATACCAAGGCCATCCAGCATACCTGGACAGCCTGAACAGTCTTGCAGCTCTTAAGCAAAAGTACGTGGGATCCAACTGAAATTACCTCTTCTTTTACATCCTCCAAGTGATGTTGAATCACTGATCAGATCTTTGAAAATGTGCAGATGGTAGAAGGTAGACCAAGGAGTGCAAGACAAGAATAGAGAGAACTTTCTTTGATCCTACAGTCCTACCTCCCCTAACTGTAAAACTGTTCCTACCTATAAACCTAGTTCCTAGATGAGTGTTGGTTGCTCCTCTCCTCGCTCCATGGGAAGCTTTCCCCTTCCGCCAGAAATTCCTCTCATAACTACTTTGCCTAAAGCCCTGCACGACTCTGACAAAGGACGATCATTCGTCTTAGCCCCAGGCAGAAGGCCCTGACTCTCTTTTATCAGGAAGAGTCTTGACTTTTTGTTATTCCCATTGCTTCATCTGATGCCCTGCTCCTCTTTGTAAGCGAATGTCTTTCTTCTATCAAAAGTTCTCATCACTACTTTGCCTAAAGCTCTGCCTGCTCTGGCAAAGTGACACTCCCATCCTAACGCTGAGCCAAAGGCTCTGCTCCTCTTCCGTCAGGATCATCTTCTTGGCACTTTGACTGAAGCCCTCCACACCTCTGGCCAAGTCCTTCCAACTAAATCAATCCTCCAAAAAAAAAAGAAACCTGGCCCCTAGACAAGTATTGGTTGCTCCTCTATCCGTTCACCTGAAGCCCTGCCTACCTGCAAAATGACGATCTCCCATCCTTTTCCCTTCCATTAGAAGTTCCTCTCATCACTACATTGTCTAAATCTAAATGATCTTTCATCCTAGACCTGTTTCTCTTCTATCAGGACGAGTCTGTTCTGTTTTTTACCGTTGCTTCCCGCCCCTCTTATGAAAATGGCTGTCTTCCTTCTGACAAGAGTTCCTCTTCTCCTAGCTTTGCCTAAGGCCTGCACCCCTCTGACCAAGTTACAATCTCCCAGCCTTCTGGAGTTCCTCGACCTGTTGCTTCATCTAAACCCTGCCTCCTCTGGCAAAATGATCTTCCATACTCACTCCATGTGAAAAGCCTGTCTGTCAAGCATTCCTCGTTGTTTCACCTGAGGTCCTGCCTCTCTTTGGCAAATGACCATCCTCATTCCATTCCCATTACAAGATTCTCCAGGTACCAGCACCCTTTAGGACTTGAAGCGACCCCTTCTGTTAATCTCAGGGATATAATAAACAATTGAGTGACTTAACCATACAATAAAGCAATACATCATGAAACTGCAAACCTTATCATAATAAAGAAGAGCAAGCTTAAGAGCATCCCCAATCATAATCAAAGCTGAAAGTAACCATCAGCCACTTTCACATAGAAGAGAAAAACTGGCAGGACGGTTTGTGTTGCGCCAAATGGTGAAAAAAATATCACTTGCTCAGCGCATCTGTGATTTGTCCATAATGAATCTAACAAAAAAATATTGACCAAAGAAAAAATCAACACCGATTACAAGTTTTACCTCTCTATCAAAATTTCAAGAAAAAATCGAACAAAGAGATACCCTTCCAATTTTTTAAAAAAATAATTAGAAACCCCCTTAATTGCTATATACTAAAAGACTACTCCGGACAAAATCCCGTAGTGGTTAATCAACAAGTGTTTGCTATCTTCAGGAACTTTTCCCTAATGACCATGTAACTGTTTGGTCTTAACTATCCACTTAACTGGATGGACCCCTCATGTCTGGTAATGTGGGATGCTCCTGGTTCTGCCCTAGCATCAATAAAGGGGAATCAATTCCTCTGCCGGCAGAGATATCAATTTATTAAGCTGAATTATTAGCAATTAAGGCAGCGCTAATTTTCTTTACACTCAACCTTCCTACAACGAATCGCATTAAAATTTGCACAGACAGCCTCAGTGCTTGCAAAACACATCTACTACCATCAAAAATTATATTGTAGCTGACATAAAAAAGACTGTTAACAATTTTTCCACTTAAAAAAAAAGGTCTCTTTCATGTAGATTAAAGGACATATGGGCAACGAAAAAGCCGACAACTTGCAAAAAATGCCACACAGTTACCCACCCCTAGAATCATAAAGATCCCTTATACAGACCTTTTTCAAATATTGGAAACAAGAATTCAAATAGAATGGCAAATTGAATATTCTACCTCGGATAAGGGAATGGCTTATAAAACTTTATTTCCACTTGTGAAAATAAAACCGCGGTTTAACAAACTAGACATGGCAAAAAAAGACAACCACCATACATCGGTTAAGAACAAACCATGGCATCTGCGCAGTGTATCTTCACAAGATTGGCATAAAACAACACCCTAATTGTGACATGCGGAGTAAAGGAGGACCTAACGCACATAATGTTTCACTGCAGACAACATTCATCGGCCAGAAATAAATTCTACCAGGATCTAGAGAAAGAAGGTGTAGAACACCCAATTACGGAAAGTAGAAATTAAAGAATCCCAGTGTGTATAACTTAATAATAAAATTTTTAAATGATGTGTCTGTGAAAATGTAATTTGAACTGTTTAAAAAGTATAAAAAGTATTCTAAAAATAAAATAAAAAATACCTTGATCAAGTTATGCATGAGTTAGAAGTTACAAATCAACAACCCAAATTATATTGGATTCAATATCATCCAAGGTCGGGTTTTATACATAATTGGGTGGATGCTTATCCAAAAAAATATTTTCTCTGGTACGCAGACTACAGAAAAATTCAGTTCCTATGAAAGATATATTCGATCTACTCATGTAGTCTATGGAAAATATCTGGAAAATCAACTCGTATGTCCATATTGCCTAACACGTTGAACAGAAATCCTTCAACAGATGACCAAACTTCAAGCAATGAGGCACTGCAGTTTACATAAACTTAACATATTAAATCTTAAGAAGATGGAATTCAGTAAATTATAACAAAATGTATCGATTTTATCGTTCCTGATCATCTTGGTCTGTTGGCAGCACAATGACAGACACTGAAGATGGCACAATGCTGACAGACCAGCCCAACTAATAGCCAAACGAAGATAATTGGTAAATTATTCAGAAATTGTGAGATGCGGTCTGGTGTGATGTAGGTTTTAGAAAAACATTTTCTTTATCGTGCCAACGTTTCAATCTTTATTGAGATCATCTTCAGGGCCTGGGATTTACAAACTAGTTTACATTTAACAAATACATTTAGGATGTTGAAAAGTGAATTTATACAATGCAAAATATATTTTTTATATTCGATCAAAGTATTTCTACTAATTCAAAGTGTTTGTCTTCTGTAAATTATAAATGTAAACAATGTTTGTAAATCCCAGGCCCTGAAGATGATCTCAATAATGATCGAAACGTTGGCACGATAAAGAAAATGTTTTTCTGAAACCTACATCTCACCAGACCACATCTCACGATTTCTGAATAATTATCGATTAACGGTCACTAATCACCACACATAATTGATAAAGAAAAAACTACAGTTTTACCACCCGCAAACCGCAGAAGGAAATATCACAATTTAAATTTGTATGAAAATAAGTGTGTGATACTCAAACAAATAGGATTTCAATGTTTTTTCAATGTCAAAAAAATGTGTCAGTGAAATCTTATTTAAAATTCGCATTTTAAGTTTTTTAATATCAGTGGACAAAATTTGCCTCTCAACAAATAATTAAATTGTAAACAAAATTTGGGAAATGCAGACTTATTATCAACTTAAAATATTAGCGAAATATATAAAAAGTGTTTAGTAAGCTAAAGCTTAGCTTAAGTTAATAATTCTAAAGTATTTTCAATTTTGTATATTCATGCTGAACCAGCATTGGGTCCGTTTTCACTCTCGGGTTTGTTAACTTTGTACTGTAACGCGTTTCAGCATTGTACCGGCTTTAGTGAGATGAAGATGGCGCAAAGCCGTAACGTGTTGTTTGACAAACCTGCAGATGCAAAAAGTGATCCATCGCTGGTTCAGCACGGGTTTAATGACTTGCAGACCGACATCCAGCGTGAACTCTAATTGTGTCTATTGATTTGGATTATCCTCACTTTTTCAATTTATTTAAATTAGGTTCAATAAGTCAAAGTTACACTGGAAAATTTCAACTCCAATTACCTAGTGCTATAGTACATAATACAACACTAATTTGCACCATTATGTTTATATGTAATATAATATTCATTAAAAAAAAAAAACTTTTTGTTTTTACAGAAAAGAAATTCTAAAAGGGGAATCTTCCGGAAGAAGTAAGTAGAGGTGCAGTTAGGTTTTTTTTTAATATTCAAAGGATACATGCAAAAACTATGCACTTTTGTTTGATTTCTTCATTAATAACCAACAGTTTGTATTGCTCTAATCAGCAAATAATAATCGGTCTACGAACATTTACCACACTGGTTTTTGCACCGAGACCATTTTGAAGAACGCCTTACAGCAAGAAATAAACTTTTAAACATCCGACGGAGAAATATCTATTCGTGATGTATCGAATCTCAGGTAAATGTGAAACTTTTTTTATGTCGTATCGAGCGATTCAGACGATGAAAGTATGAAATGTGTTGCGCCGCCTATTATTGAAATATTTACAAAATTGCAGGTTTATTTTTGTTTTGTTTTTCACTTTGGACCCAGGTTTTGTGCGTCCAAAGCCAGGCAAAAGAAAGACAAGACTCAAAGTCATGAAATTTCTACCAGATGATTATGAACATTCAGAAGTAACAAATCATCAATTTTATTATTTCTTAAATGCAAAAATAAGGAATATCAGGAAATTAAGAGAGAAAAAAAATAGAGGCAAATAGTTTGTAATTTTTAGATGGCAAAGTTCATATCTGCTTTAATTTTTTTCTTTTTGTAATTTATGTATAACATTAATATAACCAAGATGTTTAATAATATTTAGAAGTGTGAAAGTTCAAAGTGTGGAGACTTAACCATATAATTTTTTTTTAATCAGCAATAAATACGAGATGTTTAATATAAACGATTAACATGTGCTGAAGTACTAGTCCTTAACACAGCATTAACAAAAATACGAACAAATGTATCGAATGAACTCTTCGGTCAGTAGCACTACATTTAATTTGATTTTGGATATATTTTGTCTTTTAATTTTTTGTTTGTTTTGTTTTAAACAGCAAATAAAGAAAACCTTCAACAAAATGAAACTCAAAATGTTTTTTTCTATGCACAATTAATATTTATGCTGTATGTAAATTAAAAGTTTAATTATTTTCTTTTTTACATAATATTTTCAATAATATATTTCTTTCGTCATGGCTAAAAAATATTACGTTTAAATCTGAACTTTACAAATTAAATGCAAAGCTATACCAAATGTACAATTCCATTCTTGTTTGTTTAAATCTATTAATAAACTGTGATATTTAAATTTAAGCAACAAATACTGCAAATGTCAGTCAACCACCTTCTGATTCCACATCCTCTTCTTTCCATTTAGGCTATAAATCTGGAAAAAAAATTGAATAAATTAAACAAATCCATCAATAAATTATTCAAAAGGTCCACTGCTTGTCACTTATCTACCAAGTAACCAGAAAAGTTGATGCGGGTATAATTGTTACAATTAAAATAATTTTAAGACTATCTTTTTATGGGGAAATTGTCTCTTTAGAATCTCCTTTCCCAAACAAGTTACGATGTTCTTCTTATAAAAGTTTGGGTTCTGGGACTCAAAAAATAAATTCAGCTCATTTTCCAACTGTTGGCAATTATTGAACTCCCGATTGTTCATATGATTGTCCACTGCTAAGATAAGGTGAAAATCAGATGAGGCCAGGTCTGGAGAGTGGTGTAGGACTTCTGAACCAAGCTTCATTATCAGCTCCTTTGTCATTCTAGCTATAAGAGCTCCACAATGACCTAGTGAAAATCCTTTTCTGTACACAGGTTATTTCTGGGCCTGGGCAAGAGAGCTGTTCCAGTTGGCTTGAATAGATTTCTGTGGTGATGGTCTGACCATGTGGCAGTTCATAGCACACAATGCCTGCCTTACTCCGCCTAACACAAAACATCTTTTGTTTGTGAATATTTAGTTTTCACATCAATGGGACAGTGTCATTTGGAGACAATAGCTCTTGGTGTTAGTGTACAGGATCTAGTTTTCATCGTATGAGACAATCTGTTCAAAAAACACATGCTTCGTGCCATGAAAGCAATACAAGGCAAATGTTTAGACGCTGGTTATGTTATGAAGAACCCATTTACTCAGCTTCCACGTCTTCCCAAGTCGATTTAAGCCAGATTAAATGGTTTCAATGTTACAAGTGGAAAATATAACGGGAAAAAAAATTTGCACTGGGGAGACCAGAGGGTCCCTCGGCAAGGCTGAGTGAGGTTGAAGACACGAGGGTGGTCTTCAGGAGCCGAAGGAGGCCCAGGTGGCACTAAGCGGGGATATCAGGATAGGCAAAGCTCGATCTTAAATGGTTCAGTGTAGATGAGTTGGAGAAAAAGGCGAAATAAGACATTTTTATTGTTTTGAACTTTATTTTCTTACCATCATGGAGAGGGAAAAACTGCCCTGGAACGAAGTTCGAACTTTTAATTACTCTCATGCAATTTTGTTTTCTGACTGTTTCTTTTTCCTTTTTTTATTGTTGAAGAGAACTTGTTTCTTTTTTATTTTCCATGTTATTCGCAATACAGAAAACATTAATATTTTATTTTCATGTTTTTTTTTTTTCACCCTGAGGGTTCACTGTTTCCCGAAAAGGAAAGGAAAAACAGTGTGGCATCGGATTATTTTACTTTGGAGACAAAGCGGCCATGAAAAAAAAAAAAAAAAAAAAAAATCCACAACACCCCAGGTACCACCCGGAGACCGGATTGTCAATGGTCCAACGAGGGAACTGGTAACATCATTACACTGAACACTGCTAAGCTCCTGACATGAATCATGTTCGATAGCTCGTGGTTCATCTTTAATCTTCTCATTCCCAGAAGTATTTTTGAACAACTTTTGGGCAGTGCACTCACTTACTGTTTCGTTAAATCAATGAAAATTTTAATTTTCGGCTGCCCTTGTACCAAGCTTAAATTCATACAATAAGAACATACGAATTAAGGATTTGGAAGTCATAAAGAAAATATTTTATAATTTATATTTTTTCTTTATGAACTGATGCATTATCCTCTCGGTATTATGTGATGTAAATATCTTATCCTCCTATGTAAATAGAAATGTTGATTAATGGTAATAAAACAATAAAAAATGACAAACCGCATGAATTTTTCTGGCTACTTGTTACAATAAGTACATATTTAAAAAATTCAAATTGTTTATGATCATAAAAATAAGTGTAATTTAGAAAATCCAGTATCTTTGGCACGTGGAATTATTTAAACCGATAGTTTAAAGTATTAGGCATTCCACACTGCCGGCTGAGCCAAAGAAAATTTCTCAAATCAGGCTCAGATTTGACTGAGTGAGCACTACTTAAAACGGTGATCGGATGGCGATCAGGCCTTCAGTTAGTCACTAAATAAGAAACCCATCTTAATGGACAGCCCTTTAATGTGAAAACCTCCCTTAATAGATATGTTTACATAGCCAGGCAAATAAAAAGATAGGATTTTTATACATCTTAAACCCTCTAAGAACGTACATAAACAATGCATGTACTTAATGTCCAGAATTGACATATAAAAAAATTATTATCATCGTTTTATTTATTTACTTTAATGTTCTGTATAATTATATTTTTTTCTTTCCAAAAGGTAGATTGGGGATGAGGCCAGGAAGACAGAAACAACATTTATTTTCTTGTCGAGCTTTCGGCAGAATATATCGCCTTCATTAGGACTTTGAAAAAAATCGTTATACTATATGAACAGGTACATGTGTGGATAACGGATAGCCGGTAGAACCCAGTTTTTTTAGAAGTCCTGATGAAGGCGATATATTCTGCCGAAAGCTCGACAAGAAAATAAATGTTGTTTCTGTCTTCCTGACCTCATCCCCAATCTACCTTTTGGAAAGAAAAAATATATTTAAACTGAGAAGGCTGATCAATAACCAAAGAAAATGTTCTGTTTAATTCTTCCTTCTCACATACTATATTTTGTTTTGGTAACTTTGATAGAACTTATTTTGGGAATCTGTTTTTGTGAACAAAATATACACTTTCTCTTTCGGTCGGTTTCTCCTTCAAAAGCTTTTCTTTTGGAATTTCATACGTCTTTTTTCCTGGAAAAAAATATTGGTTGTAAAATAAGCCTGTAGTATTTTTTTTAACAGAATTTAATGAAAATTTGAAGTCTTTGAAAGTGAATTTAATCAACCATGGACCATTTCATTCCACTACCTGTTGCTATTCTCCTTCTGTCCTCCCTACTAATTAGGTTTTTGGTTGATGAACTCATCCATCTGTTTTTTGCAGTCCACAAGCAAATTTTTTCAAATCGATAGTTTTTCAGAAGTGAAGACCTGTGGGGGGGAATACTAGAAATATACATTTGCTGGGGTAGTACATCACAGCCAAACTCCAATATTTTTTGGTGCACGAGCACAGATACATTGTTATTCTGGTGGAAAACAATCTCCTTGCGATTAGCCAATGCCGGTCGTTTTTTGCTCAATTGCTAACTTTAACTGCTTTGAATTTGTACAGTATACACTAGTCACTCACAAAGTCATTTCTACCAGACTTTTTTATCTCAACCAAGACCTTAGAAAAAATAATTAATTGATTGAAATAAAAATTAAATTAGAATCTTTTTCAGCACAAATCCCATCACACAAAATGCTGTCTTTAAAACAAGCATGTTTGATTCAACATTACTCGGTCCATGTTTCTTTGGTTTGACCCGCAGAGTGGAATGCGGCTTAGGTCTACGGCAAGAACTGGATTAAAAACTTCACAGATTATGTTTCGAAATTGCAATATTTCATAAATATTTTCTAAATGAATCAATAATTCCTAGCTAATATAACAATATAATGATCAGTTTGTTTCACCTTCTAAATACTTTGTAATGATTTTCCCAAAATGTATTTTTTTCTCTTTATTGGTTCAACTGATCAGTCATAAAAATATTTATTAAATGTAAAATAGGAAAGGTGTGTATCAACTCAAAAGTGAAAACTTACTATCTAATGTCTGTCTGAGCGAAAATCCTGGAGGAGGATTTCCAGGAAATAGATCACAGTGTTGTGCTGAAGTAACTATTGCAGGATCTAATGAAGGCCAATCCCATGCTAAAAAAAATAAATAAATAATAAAATAATAGACTTATTAGAAGTGTCCACATATACAAAAACTATTAAGTACAGTAAGTGAAAAATTGAATTAAATTCAAACGAATGACACAAATTTTCTCTTTAATATGGATTAGTATGACCTCCACCATTTCTCTGATTGATTTTTTTTTACACATTTATCTCCGGATTGGTTTATCAAAATCAAATCAGAGTACTGACTTCATAACTGACTGGGAAGCACCAATACGTTCAGGAGAGTTGTGCAAGGTGTGAGAATTCCCCAAACAATACTGTTTGCGAGAATACCTTAACTTATAAGATTTTTTATTGAAAAATTTATAAATATGGTGTCTGTCCATTTATTTGAATGTTCAGTTTTTCTTTTTCTTTTAATGTTTTTCCGGCCAATTTGATACAGATGTATGATATAATGGTAAACGACTGTCTTTTTTTTTATCATATTGTTAGCCTTTCTGTACCTCAATTGAGGATAAAATATCACAAATAACAAACACATACAAAAAACATAATAAAACATAATAGTCTAGTTAGCATTCACTCTACCCTCAGAGTATTTGATATTCCTCAGGGGAATTGGGGATACACCCTGCCATTCATGCTAATAAATTACTCCAATTAATTATTCTTTTTATCTAAAGTTTTTGGATGAGATAAAATATTAGTGTCACAAGCGGGATTAAAAACCATGACCTTTGGCTCAATGCTGCTCTAGCCACTTGATGTCACGATAGCTCAAGTGGTTAGAGAGCGGCGAATTGAGCCGAAGGTCGTGATTCGAATTTTACTCGTACTAATTTTTTATATCAGATGAAAAGAATAATTAATGGAAATAATTAATATGGTCAATTATGACCTCTAAGCAAATATGGATTAATTTACTAATAAATTACATTCATACACGTAGAGTATATTCCTCAGGGTAATTGGGAGACCCTCCATTCGCGCAAATGAATACACTCGTTCTAATAAATAACATCTCTGGAAATAGAATATCACAGATCCGTACTATGCCCAGTTATTAGACGGAATTTTCTTAGCAGAGTAAATAGAATAATATCGGAAAATAAAATCGTCCGGTCATGAGGGATGTCTGATTATTAAAAGTGTCTGTTTAGGAAAGTTCGAATGTATTTCCATAATTAAAAATATAAAATAAATTTAAATAACTCTACAAATGTTTATTTTTCCTATACTCTACTAATATTTATTTTATTTGTTACAGTTTTAAACTAATAAACAAACAAATATATGGTGATTAGTCTCCGTTAGTCAATGATTATTCGGAAATCGTGCAGTCTGGTGTGATGTAGGTTTTAGAAAAACATTTTCTTTATCGTGCCAACGTTTCGATCTTTATTGAGATCATCTTGTGGGCACTCTCAACACGACACACAAGAATGGCACAATTATGCAGAAAACGAACACTTTGAGTGAGTAAAAATACTTTGAATATAAAAAATATTTTTTGCATTGTATAAATTCACTCTTTTCCACATCCTGCATGCATTTGTTAAATTTAAACAATGTTTATAAATCCCAGGCTCTGAAGATGATCTCAATAAAGATCGAAACGTTGGCACGATAAAGAAAATGTTTTTCTAAAACCTACGTCACACCAGACCGCATTTCACGATTTTCGAATAATTAATAAACAAAACTGTATTTTTCCTCAAGTATTGTCAATATTCGTGTAATTTTTGTACAATTTAATTTTTTTTAACATATTCTATCCTAGAACATTCAATCACTATATGAAGGGTAATTGAAAATGTAAATGAAATAATTTTAACATGCAATTACTAATGTATAAATGATTTCATTTATAAGCATGCAACGAACTATATTCAAGATTCGCCATTGACAATGAAATATACCCTAAATTTAAAGAAGTTATCGAAGGATAGCATTGATTCTTGAGTATTTTATCATTTTAAACATCATTTTTTTTACATTAATTTTGAGCACAATTATGTCAATGGAACTGCAAACTGTATATGAGACTTTTGTTTCTGAAAGCGTAATTTTGAACTGTGGCCACTTTTAGAGTATATTGGTAGGGATGTTGAGATTGAGTAGAGCCAGGATCATCTGGTTCTGACATGTTCGGCACTAATGCTTCCAATAAGAGTTTAAATTATTATTAAATTTCTCATCGATAAAGGCATAAAACCAAAATTCTTCAAATATTCACTCTTCAGTTCAGAGAACACAGTCTAGGGCTCGACTATTGGCCTGTCATAAAAAGTTCGAGGAAGGAAGTGAACGGATTTAAGGAAAATGATTGCTCTTACAGAAGATATCCATGCAATTTGTGACCTAGAAAGTAAAAGACATCTGACTGTAACGAAAATGACAGGGCGAATATGAATAAGGTACGGGATCCTGACAAAAGGACCTAAGGTTCCGTAAAGTATGTGTCAGATCCAATACAGGAGGTTATCATGAATAATAAACCCACTGGTATGAAACTTCCAAATAGGAAAATGATTTAAAAGATTTTCTGTAGAATCTGCCATATATAATTAACCAATAATTTAAAAAAATATTGTTCATTATGGTTTTAACTGTTTTAAAATTTGACATATTATTGGTATGTGCATAAGTATAGAGCGGCCTTGTCAAAATTTATGTGGAATTTATAGTGGAAGTAGTAACTTAACATGAGTGTCAACAATGATTCCGGCGTTTTTGTAATTTAGATAGATGAATCAAGGACCAGCCTCATTGTAGAAGGCCTAATGAACTTAAAAGAGGCGACTTATTAGCGGCTTGGGCGATGATGACAAATTAGTGGAGCAATCACAGAGTACTTGAAACTCCTCAGGAACAAGGAAGACCACATGGTTTGTCGCATTTCACACCTATTCGGAATAAATTAGAAGGGTTTATTTCTTATTTGGTCACTGGGATTGAGAAGCGAGTCCTTGACTAAAATGTTAAACGCTAAAGGACCATTTGTAAGATGAACGAAACGCCACTGTTGAAATCAAAACCAGATTGCACACTGGCCATATTGTCTGGTGATATATCCAAGATATAATTTATTTGGAACCACATAATCAAAACGCTTATGGCAGGGATATAATGTGCCCAGGTACTTCTTTGGGCAGTGTTGAAGGAAAAATGTCCTGCTCTGGTGAATAGAAGCCGTGTTGGTTTCACCGAACAACAGCAGCACACATTCTGAGTAAAATCAGCAAGTTGGGCTGGTTGCCCTACTTTCCATACTCTCCAAGGACTCGTTAATATAAATTATATAATATTATTTATATTATTACAATATAATATAAATTATGTTAAAAATAATTGTAGAAGACTGGTAAGTACGTCGTTAAGGAGCCTCCAAGGAGGATGGAGAACGAGAATAACAAGCCCGGTCCAAATTGATAAGGTCTGCGACTACGAAGAAACACCCGGTCCTGCCCAAGAAGCCTTACACATGTCTGTCATTTTATTACGGTTCTATTTTTCCAATTTGATTTTAACCGGGTACTGTTTTGATTTTACCCCCAGGCGACGGGCATCCGAAGAAAAACCAGAAGCTAGACGCTTTTTTCCACTCCATAGACAGCCACTTAAAAGTTAGGTACTATTTGAACATAAATGCTCTGACAATCAAACTTACAGATTTCTTCATGTTTAGGTCATTAAACTTTAACAAAAAGGGGATAATTCTGCTACCAGAATGTTGGCAATATCCCCGTCCAGAAATGTCCTGTTTGTGGCAATAATTTTTCTTTTCACCTTCTTTGCATAAAAATTAAAATAAAACTGTAAAAATAAATAATAAAAATAATTATAATGGTTTGACATGAAAGTAATGTCATTTTCAATTATAGGATTAATTAGCTCAACACTTATATTTCGAATACGAAGGAGTCCTTTACTCAAACAGATGAGGCTCCTGTATTTTTATTCCAAAAAGCGAGTAATACAGTCGATCCATCACTGCGAAAGATCGGCAATACTAAGATTGAAGGTGCTAAATCAGCATTATTTAAGTCCATCGATTCCATCGGGGAACAAAAATACCAAAGCCCCTATACCCAGCGGAACATCTATTAAGGAGATTCCGCTCTCCTTGAAAGGGGATTTACCGGAGCCCGTCCCTCCTCGGCGTGTGAAACCCATTGCTGGGTCATCTGCCGGCTCCTCTCAGGTTAATCGCCCACATTTTGGGAGCATCCTCTGAGGGGGTAGAATGGGAGATGAGGGATGTACGGTCGTCGAGCCCGGCTACAGTGGAGGGTTCTGTTGAAAATGACGGAATCACTGAACTAGCCGTAACAACAAAAAAGAAAAAAGGATGGCCAAAAGGCAAAGCAAAGAAACCAATACAAAAAGATATAATAGACAGATGATACAGAGATGCAGAGAAACCATGACCATAAATACATTACAATAGAATCTGAGATGGATTAAATGTCACACAGAAGGACTAAAAAGGTTAATTGCAGAAAAATCGCCTCTCGCCATCTCCCTACAGGAGACTCACCTCTGTCCCGAAGAGCGTTTTTACTTGCGAGGATACAGAGCGTATTCACGCGAAAAAGAGATTGCCCCGGGAGGATGAGCACACGGTGGAGTGGCGATTTATGTGAAGCAAGATATAATGGCAGACCCTATCTACCTAGAAACTGGAAATATATAGGCTATTGTGGTGAGAAATGACAGTGTTCTATATATCTGCCTGATCGCCAGTGGGCTACAGAAGATGTGAGCTGATGCATTAAGGCACTACCGAATCCAATCCTACTGATGGGAGATTTCAATTCACATAATGTTTGGTGGGGTTCGGATCGGTCTGACACTAAAGGAATAGATTTAGAAAATGTGGTACATAATACGAATTTAATATTAATGAATAAGGCAAACCCACACACTTGAACACCTATACGGGGAGCTATAGCGCAATAGACCTTACATTTGCCTCCCCTTCGTTGGTTTCAAGTTTCACCTGGGACACTTTAGATGACTTTTATTTCAGTGATCACTTCCCTATCCTAATCAGTAGCTCCATCCAAACTGGGGAATACGTGGCTTGTCAAAGATACAACGTGAAAAAGATTGAATGGTCATCTTTCTTCGCACTGGTCGAATTCCCATCGCTTACGGGGGATATATCCGGGGGGGGGCTAACGGGGCTGAAGTGTTCCCTGGTGGAACAACGACTGCAAGACTGCCAACCAAGAAAAGAGACTCTAAGGCGCTTTAATAGATTCCCGACAGATGAAAACCTCAAGAGTTTCAAAATAGCACGGTCCAGAGAACGAAGGGTTATTAGTTACCCAAACAGAACTCTCTGCAAAAATTAATTGGCGAAATGAATACCCGACTAACCAAGAAAGAAATGTGGAGAAGAATTAGTGCCATAGCAGGAAAGAGAAAACCACCATCTATCCCCATAATTAATATACAGGGAATTACAGTGACCGATACTAACTGTACTGTGAACAGCTAACCCATTTAGACCAAATAAAGCAAAAACGGCCTGCTAGTGCAACAACAGAAAAGGTGTAGTCTTTTACTAAAACGCCGTACTCTCCAGGCTCACCTTGTGACTACAAGTTCGGTCATAACAAAAATTTTTAAATGGCCAAAACCTTGAAAGTACTGAAAGTGTTCAAACAGCTGGTTAAACATTCGTCGATTCTATGATGGTTTAAAAAAAGAAAAATATATACTTAAAAAAGTCATTATTTTCTTGTTCAATAGTTGGCAGTAAAACAGAGGAAATTATATTGAAATAAAGACATCAGGGATGAAGCCTTGTAAGTGATAAAAAACCACACCAGACCACATATCACGATTTCCGAATAATTATCAACTGACGGTCACTAATCACCACACATTTAAAAAACTTAACAATCAATTCGGACATGTCCATGAATTGATTGTTAAGTTTTTTAAATAATTTTTCAATGTCCTGAGGAAGGCGTTAAATACAGCCGAAAGTTCGACAGCAGAAAAAGAAGTGGTTTTTTCACCTACATGGCTTCATTCCTGATCTCTTTATTTCAATATTTATCATGAAGGCTGATACTACACTCAGAGGAAATTATGTTTTTGATGAAAATTAATTTATATTTTGAGTTTTTTTTTCTTCTGACAACTGAAAAAAAAAAAAAAAAACTTATGCACACACCCAATAGTAACTATGAGTTTTTAGAGATTCAAAATGCAATTATGTAATTGACAGATATAACAAAATAAAACATAATACATATCAATATTTGCTTTTCTTAAAAGGCACAAAAAATAAATAACTAAATACCTGCAGACGATGTTTGGTGTGAAGGTGAAAAAGCAATTGTTGGATGAATATACTGCAATAGTTTACTTCCTAGAAAATCAAATTTGTATAATGGACTTTAAATATTTATTTAAAAAAATAAAATTAAAATAAAAAAAAGACGATTTTATTCCCTTGATAGTATGGTGATTATGTTCCAAGTTTGAATCTCTCAACAATTTATTTCTAAGGGAGTGAAAATTAAACAGATATGAATTAATTAATTCTAAGCCTGCTGTAACTAAAGGCACTTTAATTAACTAATGCTGATAAATGAAAGGTAGGGAGAAATGTTATATCAAATGTCATGCAGTTTTCAACATGTAAACGCTGTTCGATTCACTCCATAAAATACACAACAATTTACAAAACGATTATTGTTAACACAAGCAAAATATAATTAACTTGACGTACCTGTACGTGGGATGCCCAACCCGAAGGCATTCATGTGATTAGGCGTGGATGTAAAGCCAGGGGGTGGTGGTCTAGAATGTGGCACAGTCGATCCTAAACGTAAACCTTCTAGGAGCTTTGAACAGCTGTTCAACCTTTAAAATAACATCGATTAAAAAAATAAATAAATTTGAAATCAAATCTGTAATTACCTATTGTTGTGATGTTTATTAAGAAGTTTTGTAGGCTGAAACCTATGTTGTTCTTCTTTTTCTATCATTTCAGCTAAAGCTTTCTGTGTTTCATGGAATGGGTCAAACCCCAGGTCGTCATCCCTCGACAGCTATTACAAAATAAAAATTAATTAGATAAAACATTTCTGTACAGTACTAAATGAGTAATATGTAAAAGTTGTACTGAGAAGCATTAAATTACAAAAACTTGATGGGCTTCACATGCAGTAAACACATAATTATCTCATCCCGGACAAAACTGACCAAAATTAAATGCCATATCTAATATTTGTTACTGGGGAATAAAACATACAGCGTATTGGTTATACACAACCCAGACCCCTTGTCACATATGGACATAGGTGTCTTTCAAAAGTGCCAAGATTCCTGAGATTCAAAGAAATAAAACCAAATTTAATGAGAAACCATGACAAAATTTTAGAGAGAATCGGTTAACTGACAAACTAGGAGGAAAACACAATAATGACTAACCCTTCTCATAAAAAACAAGAAATCTATGGAAGAAAAGCAAGAGTTTCAGGAAGAAGAAACCCTAATTATAGTAGACAGAAGGATCAGAAATCCAGTAGATGTTATAAGACTGGCAAAATCGCAGTGCTGAAATGACTGACAAATTCTGAGCATGGAGAACTTGGACAAAAAACAAAGAATAGTGATGGCCCGACTTGAATTGGTCACACTAGACTAAAGCTTGGGCATCTCCTAAACAAAAAGCACAAAACAAGGTGTGGCCAGTCTAAGAAAATCAAAAATTATTCAGAAATCGTGAGATGCGGTCTGGTGTGATGTAGGTTTCAGAAAAACATTTTCTTTATTGTGCCAACGTTTCCGATTTTTATTGAGATCATCTTCAGGGCTCAAAGTGTTTATCTTCTGTGTAATTGTACCATTCTTGCGTGTCGTGTTGAGAGTGCCCTATATCACACCAGACCGCATCTCAGATTTCTGAATAATTATCGATTAACTAATCACCACACAAAAATCAAAAATGTTTTAAGACACAGGAGTCCTGGGCTGATAAAGCTGAACAAATAACCAAAAGAAAAGAACTCTCAAAAATACAGAGATTTGTATGCACCTGCATAACGGGAGCAATGAGCCATGTCCTACAATTAGCATGGAAAAAATACTAGGATTAATTCCCCTATATCACATGGTAGAAAGGACAGCGCAGAAAACCATCATCAACCTTATCAAAGAGAAACCTCCAACAGGAATAAAACTGAAATGGAGAGATAGCAACAAACTATGGAAAGACCATCCGTCACTCATGGCTCCAAGAGACGACATGAACAGGATGTTTGAATTTAACCAAAAATTCCAAATAAACCTGGGTACCAAAAAAGACTGGGAAAGAGAGGGAAATAACTCCTTTAAAAATGGCACCATACGCTGGTACACAGATGGATCTAGAACACAAGAAGGTACGGGGGCAGGAGTATTTGGACCTGGAACCAAATACTCAGAACCCATGAGAAAACACACCAGTATCTTCCAAGCTGAGATTCATGCAATTGAAAGATGTACCCAATTCAATCTAAGCAAAGAGTACAAAAACAAGAATATAGCCATCATCTCAGATAGCCAAGCAGCCATCAAAGCACTAAGCTCAAGTATCATTAGTTCAAGGATGGTGCTGAACTGCAAAACCAAATTAAACGTAGGTATGCAGAATAAAGTCAGCCTCTGCTGGGTCCCAGGCCACATGGGAGTAGAAGGCAACGAGAAAGCGGACACCCTCGCAAGGAAAGGGGCTGCCACACCGCTGATAGGACCAGAACCCTTCTGTGGCATAGGAATCCACACTATTAACGAATATCTAAGACAGGACAAAAAGAAAATGAAGGAACAATGGAATTCACTCATTGGACATAGACAATCCAAGATTCTTCTAACCAATTTTGGCAAGAAAGATATCACAGAATGTGTCAAAGGAAGCAGGAACAGACTGAGAATCCTAACAGGATTCCTAACAGGACACTGTAGATTAAATGGACACCTAAAGAAAATTGGAACAATCCAAGATGGCACAGGTAGATTCTGCAAGGAGGCAGAAGAGACACCAACACATTTACTAACAAACTGCGGAGCTACATTAGCCCGCAGGAGGAAATGTTTTGGGATGTATAATGTGACCATAGAAGAGCTTCAACCACTAAAACCGGGCCTATTAATCAAATTTCTTGGTGAAATTGGACTCACCGATGTGCTTTAGGCAGAGAACGGGGGATACAATAGCTCTTAAAGGGCGCAGTATACTATACCCTGCAATTATATCTACAAGACACAGGAGTGATGGCAACAAAACTTTGTTTAAACACCTGAACTGTATAAATGCATATATGCTGTCGCATTAGACAGCTTTCCAAACATGGTTTTCTCATCTAGAATGAATGTATTTATTAGCGTAAGTGTTTCAATGACTGGGTGGGTTTGTGGCAGAATAAAGAGGACCCTACTCCACAGACCAAACAAACTAGGTTAATTATTTTATCGATCTGAATGAATGTATTTATTAGCATGATTGGTAATGAGTGTGTATGTGTGAGGGGGTTTGGTGGAATATGGAGTACTCCACAGACCCACTAATTAGGGTAGTTTTTAAAAAAAAAGTAATTGTGAGTAGAGTGAAAAGGGACGCAGTGGCATAAATATTAGGTTGAATGTTTATGTATGTGTGGTTGGTAGCAAAATATACAGTACCCCATGGACCCATCAAGTTTTTTTTAAATTAATTAATTTAAAAAAAAAATTTAAAGTGATTGTAAGCGAGATATCGTTGCAAAACCCTAATGCATCCCAAAATTTTAATTGTACATGCAGGGTAAAAGTTTCTAGTCGGAGTGAATGTATTTATTAGTGTGAATGATGGTTGGTGCTCAGTGAAATATCCAGTACACTGAGACCCGCCAAATTTATGTTATGCTACAATATACCTATGTCTGTACATGAGTTGAATTTTTCACCATGTGTGTAAGGGCTAATAAAGAATGATAAGTCCCAGAAATCCATCAAAAATGTAAGCTTGTCATGTCCTCCAACTGAAGAGCCAAATTTTGTTAAATAAAAAACATGAGTTGGAAAAAACGCGAGATGCCGGCAATAACTGGGGGAAAAAATTAAAAAAGTGCCCTGGAGAGTGTGCTTAAGTTGGAACTGAGAAAAAAAGAATGGCTTGAGAAAGAAAAACTGAAGCACTGGTCAAAACCACCAAGTATATAATGGCACCTTATTGATTTTAGCTCATTTGGGAATGCCTACATTGCCTAATTGCTCTAGGAAAACATACCTCGTGGGTGTATAAAAGGAAACAAACAGGTGGACCAACTAGCCAAAGAAGGAACAGTCGTCTCACCCATCGGACCAGAACCACAGACGCACCAGATAGTGTGCTGAAGTTGGAGCTGGAAAGATGTATCAAGAAAGAAAAACTCAAGCACTGGACATATTCACCATGAGGGCAAGCTAGATCTCTCTATAAATATTTCAAAAAGGAAGGCGAAAGAATTCTTTTTTTCCAACAGTCAAGATTTGAGGAAAATTATAGGTTTTAACTCCTATGTGATTATGATTATGACTTATTTTGTTAAAAACGTTTTTCCACACCTAGGCGATATCTTGGGGAGGGGGAATAGGTATACAATTATCTAGTTGGAAGCCCTAAATGCAAATATTGCAACTGCACATTTTATATTTTAATTAATGACAGTGCTATTGCGTGAAGCTGCTACCAGAGAACTGAATCTGAATTTGATCATCAAAGACGGTTTAAATGGCAAAATCAAACTAAAGGAAATAAACACGAAACGACCACTGGGATCTCAAGTCAAAGCACAAAAAAAAAGCCTAAACCCTGTGAGAGAGGTATACACTATCAAGGCTTTTTTCAAAGCAAAAAAAATCAACGTTACACTTGAGATCTCTCACTGTATGCAGGTGCAAAAGCTCAAGCCTCCTTGCAGAATTTGGGAAGAAAGAGCATACCAGAGAAAATAATAAGAAACCAAAATTGGCCTACTTTAAAAAAACCTACACTATACTTGTTTAATAATTTATTAAATACTTGCCATCATCATTTTAAAAAAAATTATATTAATTAAATTTACGACTTACTACTGAATCATCTGGTGTTTGAGAAAAACATAATTTATTTGTCCACGTTTCTGGTGGATGAACTTTAGTTATAACCTCTTGAATATTAGGACTGCCAATCACTTGATGCCAATCTGAAAACATACGTCGATTAATTTATAACGATTTTATTTTTCAAAAGTTTCATTAAATTTTAAACTTAGGTGAACAATAAAAAAAAAGTAATGTCATTCAATATTATTAATATAAATATGTAAAAGGAAAAATAAATAAATATGTTTATTATTATATTTTTTAAATATACCATAGCGCAATATAAATCTTTGGTACATAATTTTATTTATGTCGTATTACTTAGCTTAAACAGTTTATATTTTTTATAGTAAAGCATTTTCCTTGAATTGACATTAAAATGCTTTGAAAAAAATTTAAACATCATTAATCACATCAATCTTGGCAACTTCAATAACAATTTTTATAAAACAACACTTAATTTTTGTGCATGGCAGGGTGAACAAATGCCAGGCAATAACTTGCAAAATTAATAAACCATTTTTTGGTGGTGCAAGATTTACATGTTTTCCTTACATATTTTATTAGTACTTGTATCCGTTGTGGTAATAATGTTATTTTTTAAATTTCACATAATGTAGTGCTATTAAATAGAAGAAGCAGCTAGATATGCTCTGAATAAATTTTTAAAGCCCCTTGATACATTATATATTGATAGGGGCTTTAAAATTTAAGTTTTTGCAGAAGATAAGATGTTAAGAATGTCTTTATACACTTTTCAGAGAATAAGCGAATTGAAAAAATTGACTATTTAAAAGACAAAGGCTGTCCATAATTCAGGATTAAACCCTTACCTGATTGTTTATCTACAACCGATCCATTCCCTGGGTTTGAATGGTTTTGGATAAACGCTGAACCAAGTTCTTTATTATAGTTTGCAAACTCTCTCAAGTCGGGCTGATGATAGTTTGAATATTCTGAACTTTTTTCACAATTTAATATATCACTTTTAATTTCTGAAAATAAACTCGGATGCTCTTCAGGGTGACACATCTCTTCTTGTTCACCGTCGCTCGTGTGTACTTCCGGAGGCGAATGGTTATAGCTATTGCTTCCTGGACTGTCTAAAGGATTACTATAACAATCCCTTAAAATCCCATTTCTGAGGTCATCATGTTTTCTATTACAGACAAAAAATATATATTGCCAAATTTTATAACAACGATGATAATTTAAAATTTTATTAGGTTTCATGGCCCGCTTGAACAAATGAATTCTTTTTCAATTAATTAAGGTTTTGGATGAGATAAGAATTGAAAAATGGCAAAAAGGAGGGAAAATTTGAAAGGTTGTCGGTTAAGATGGGGAGTTGGTGTCCGAGCGGATCGATTTCACGATAGCTCAAGTGGTAGAGCAGCGGCGTATTTAGTGTCGTGGGTTCGAATCCCGCTTGTGACACTGATTTTCTATCTCAACCAAAACCTTAATTGAAAATAATTTAAAATATTCCCAAACTGACCTATTATCTTCTGTGTTATTTCTGGATTTATTTCTAAGAGAGTTTCTGCTTAATTCATTTTTAATGCCATTGATCGGGCAGTTTATGGAATCTGTTGGAGATGAAGAAGGAGATTCACCTGAAAAAAATTTAAAATTTGGATTTTTAAAAACAAAGTTTGCATAAATTAATTATTGTGTTAAATTGTAATACTCTTAACACATTTTTGATGGGGAAAAGATGATAATTATTATGTTAAATTTCCATAAACATTTGCAGTTATGAGAATTGATACAGAACTAATTTAATAAATCTTTAAAAACTTGAAACCAAGCTTAATTAAACATAAAATAAGAAAGATATAGATTTAAAATATTCCTGTGGTTCTTTGTATAAAATCAACTTCAAACAATTTACTCAATTAAATTATTTTTGTCTCATTGGTTATAAGATTATTATTTAAACCTTCATACTGGTTTTTAAAACGTAAAAATTGTTTGGAAATGACGAAAAAATTCAAAATGGAGGAATTTCATGCATATATTTTTAGCCTAATACAACTTACTTCTACAAACCCGGCTTCAATTCAATTATTACGTTTTGCAATACATTATACTAATTTATTAATGAAATCTTGGTTTGTGTGATTACTCCGTGTTGTCAGCAGGGTGATGAAGTTGTCATTTTGTCGTTACCGATCGTTTTGGGCTGCCTACCTTCACTGGGTAACTTTTTGAGTCAAAACCGTAGTGTTAATTTTGAGTAATGATAATATTGTATTAATTGTGATTAACTTGGTTATTGTAATTAATAAAACTATACTTCAATAACAGATATTTCTAGAATGGGTAATAATTTTTTTTTTATATTAGCAATTTTTATGACATTTTCAATTGTTTTGCCTAAACTTTCTTATTTCATATTATTGTAAAAACCATTTGATTTAACAAATGAAGGGGTAATTCCATGTCAAAGACTTGAAATTAGTGATAATTTCTGTTAACTTTTTAAAAAAAATTAATCTATTTATTTTGTATGCTTTGAAATATGGAGTGAGTTTAACTTCTATTCCCCCTATATAATTTTTCCCCCTTTAATTGGGCTGTTTTCAAGAAAAATCCCATGACATAAAAATTTTAATTTTTTGTCTTGATTTTTCTTATGAGACAAAAAGTTTTGATATAACTTTCCACAATAGCTGGATACAAATAGGGGCTTAACTATTTAAAATGGTAAGATACTTATCAATGTACATTTTTTAGAAGTTTTTCGACACTGATTTCAATAATGTCAATGGTTTTTAATTCAGAACAACTGTTCTAAAGTTATTGTTTTTCAGAAAGATCAAAATCTTAACTTCAAACAATAACCAATTTATTTGTATTTTTTTTACTCTTCTTTTCCGGTTGTTGACTTTATATTTCTCGGGTTTCTTTTCAGGAACTAGACAACCATCAAACTCAAAGAAAATGAGTTTGATGGTTGTCTAGTTCCTGAAAAGAAACCCAAGAAATACAATTTATTTATCGTTTTCATTGATAGAATGTTGTTCATTAATAGAATGCTCATTAAATTTTCTGTGATTCAGCCTGGTGCAAATTTTGACCAAAAATATAAATTTGAAGGTATTATGTTTGACAAGCAAAATGCAAATAACCAACTTTTTTTCCAACAAAATTATTGATATGTTTTAATCCATAACAATTTAGATAAAGTTTAGTTTTTACATTGATCGACTTATTGTGCATATCGAAAAAAAAAAAAAAAAAAAATTCTGTTGCTGGTAAAGTGGACTGAATCACGCTTTAATGAGCTACACCAGAGCAGAGCGTCCTAATAATCTTTGTTATTTAAGGAAATTTTTGTGAAATTTTTCTTTTGGTGCTATGAGCAATTAATTTACTATCGATTAAATTGATAAATAAATAAAGTGGTGGAAGAAGATTGCATTTATCCAAAAAATAGTGTTTGGAAAAAGTTTTTGCAGTTAACTTGAGAACGGTTGATCCCAATTAAAAACAGTTTACACCGTTAAATTCAGCGACAAAAAATTATTGATCGTACTATTTGAAAAATTTCAATTTTTATCCGTACCCTGCTATCGTGGAGAGTTACATCAAAACTTTTTGACTCATAAGAAATGACAAAAAAATAAAAATTTATGTGCCTCGGGTTTTTTCAATAACCACAATAACGTCCAAAAAATAAATCTGGGTGGTACAGAAGTTTACCCTGAATATACATTTTACATAAATAATATATAAAAATATATAAAATGTTATTGTTCTATACAAAAACGAAATCAACAAAATTTTTGTAATAGAAATGATAAATGAGTGAGTGTGTCATTCAATATTTTAAAAAGATTAATTTTTGTAAAATGCTCAAAAAATGTTTTTCATTCATATTGTACATACATGCAAAAGCAGTAACATCCTATAAACACAGAACAACCAAAGTCACCATTAGTTCAAAAATTGTAATGTTGAATAGTATTTTAATTATTTGCTGCTTTAGGTTCAATACACTCCTTGAATAGTTATTGTGACAAGATAACATGATCGTACAATTGCTATTTTTCTGATGACATCATCTTATCCCAATGTCTCCTTAATTATAAAATTCCACATAGAAATTTTATCTAGAGAAAATCTGAGGGATTTAAAATAGACTAATAGGGCTAAATACAAGAGAAATGCTAAACTTTCAAGAAAGTTATTTCAAAACCATTTTTAATTTTTTTTATGTTTGAAACACCATGAATTACAAGTGTTACTGCTGCTCTTAAAAGTATTTACCTACATGAAAATTTGATAATTAATTAAAGCTTTTTACTAGGCCCAAGAATCCTAAAAAAGAATAAAAATATGGGATGGCTACAAAAATAGCTGAGAAAATGGAACTAAAAAGATAATTTTCACATATCCTTTTTAAAATAACAAAAAATGTTTGGATAAAAACTGAAACTAATAGAGAAGCCTAAATATATAGATAGGTTTAAAATGGAACATGGAGTGGGTGCAGTAGTCAAAGGCCCAAATTTTAACCTAGCAAAATCTAGGCCCTACACCATTAATTTTCCAAGCTGAGTTACATGCAATAGAATTGTGCACAAGAAATACTTAAAAAACGGAGGAAAAGGTGCACAGATATACATATTCTCAGACAGCCAGGCTGCACTTAAGTCTTTAGACTTCTCCACTTTCAATCCAAAGCCTGGAGAAATGCCTAATGTATTATCCAGATCCTTGGAAAACAATCTAACTATGATAAAGCTAACTATGATAAACTAGCATAAACAGGAGCAGCCCTCACACTCTTTGGATCAGAACCAAAACTGGCACACCCCAAAGCCAAAGTGGAACTGAATAAATAGAGAAAGAAATGAAACGTTGGATGAATTTTGCGCAAAATGATCGAAGAAGTTCCTCAACATCTCAGCCAGGAAAACGAACATCTACTCAGCTGGCTAGGATTAGGAAAAAATAATAGGTCATTGCCTATTCAATCATAACCTCAATAAAATGGAAAAAACTTATTTTGAGACAGAAATCTGCTGGTTCTCATGAAAAACCAGACAGAACAAGCCCTTGACTGTAAAGGTACTACCTCTTTAGAAATACAATACTAACGCATAGAAATAAGCAGCCCTTTAAAATAGTTAACCACTTCCCTGGATTTGAAAAAAAAAAAAAGTCAATTCTACAATAGATCTTTTAGATTGCAGTTTAAGAAAAGACTATAGTCACTAGTGTCTAAGGGAAGAAAAAAAATAATTAAAGCTATTTGGGAATTTTTTTAATATTACTGAAGCTTCTGTTTCATATCAATTTTTCACATCTACAAGTCAATAACTTGCTCTCGTTAAATACTGACCTTAATTGATAAAAACGGTATTACGATCGCTATCACAAAGCAATAACAGTTTATAAAAAGCTGATGTAAAAATCACTTTATTGTATTTTAAATTTTGTTTTGCCTAATGAAGCAGAGCAGTGATTTAAAAAAAATCATTTTTGTTAAAAACATTCTTTAAATTGTTAAGGAAAAAGGCAATTTAAATTCAGTTTAAATAATCGAAGAGAAACTGACTAAATTAACAAATTGCTCTTATGCAAGTGAGCCTCCATCTCTTTTAAATTAAATATTAATTTACCTTGATTTAAGACACTAATCGATTGTTTCCACTTGTGATAAAAAAAAGATTTTAAAAATTTATCGTTTGGCCTTTTGCATTGATTTTATATTATTTATTCTGAAGGAACCTGAGTGAAAATTTAGTTTTTTCTTGTGATAATTTTGTAGTTAACAGACAGCTTATAATCGAATAAACTGATTATAAGCTGACATAACAATAATTAACAATTAAATAAATTGAAAGCAATAATTAACAACATACTTAACAATTAAAGCTTCAAAAGGACCATTGTATTTGTTAACTTCAATTATAAATAAATAGCTTACCAATACCATGCATATTTAAAATTAGCTAGACATCATCACCAAGCATGAATTAATTGTAAAATTAGTTAAATGTTAATATTAATAAGAGGGGAGGCATCGGTGGCCGTAAGGTAAAGGTCCCGGGTTTGCATGCAGGGCAACTGGATTCCAACTCGACATACTAATGGTTTTTTTTTTTAACACCAGACAGTTCATACAACCTTATAATTAAAACACCCTCATTAAAAAAAATATATATTAATAATAAAAAGCATTTTTACACTTATCGCCTTACCTAATGTACAAATTGCTTCTTTGGCATTTATTATATCAATTTTACTTTTAGCACTTCAATCAAACCTGACGTCAAGCGAGATTTGCCTCCTGTTTTGGACGGTAGACATGTCAATATCCTTTCGTTTAGACATATTTGATCATCCTGTTGCCAGGATGGTCGTCTCCGTTCAAACTACAGGTTCGCCACTTCACAGACCTCAACTCTCACAATTATAGCATGCTTTGTTGCTAATGCTATCGAAATTGATACGCCCGACCACCAATCCCAACTCATGCTTTTAACGTTCTTCGTAACTTGAACTTCTGACTGTCGATCATATGAGAGAATTTAGATATGGCAGTCAACTGACAACAGGTTTATGCACTTTACAGAAAAATATCACAACACTTAATCTTTTATTAAATAAAAAAATATATATTTTTTAACAGAAAAAAAAAACAATTTTTTTTAAATTATATTTTATTGAAATATAAGAACAATTTTTTTAAGGGTGAATCAAATCTAGACCTAGTAACACTAGAACTCTCAGCAGTAATTTCAAACTATTGGGTTGTCCGGAAAATAATGCAGGATTTTAAGTTTTCATTAAAAAAAATCTATATAAAATATTCTGTTTACGTTTACAGGATTACTCATTNTGATTAAAGAACATTGCTTTAAAGTAACTAGTTTCTTTTTTTTTGTTTAATACCAAAATCCTGCATTATTTTCCGGACAACCCAATATTTCCCAAAAATATGTAATCAAAATTACAAAAGATGTCTATTTTCTTGATATTTGATTTTCCTGTCGATATTTTAAAAAAAAGCAGTACTATTTTAACAAATCATATCAAAAAAATAAAACATTTAAAAAAAATAAAAAACCCACACCTTCCTGGCACCAAGTGCAAGTCCGCACCCCACACTCATGCACGTTTAAAACAGTAGCAATTTTTAAACTTAAAAGCGGTATTTATATCATGCAAATTATTACGTTACAGACTAGATTTCAAACCAACCAGCTGAATTTTGATGATTGGGGTGTAACGTTGGCCAAGCTTCTTTGTTTTGGTTCTGTACAGGAATTGGTACAGTTGGCGGTGACGGTGTTGGTTTCCTAAGATAAACATTTCTCTATGAAAATCTGTTTAAAATTAAAGCCATTATAATGTAAATCAGTTCCTAAATTGTTTATCAAAATAATTCTCCTTGTAAATAATCCCAGTGGAATTATTTGTGAGTAGGTAGTAGCATAGTGAGACGTTTTATATCGTCATTTCAGTATAAACAAAAAAATTCTTGTAATCAACTGAGATATGCATGATAGTAAAAGACATTTTTCACAAAACCTTCCTTTCTTTTATTTTTCTTCCTACTCAAAAATTTTTCAAGTCTAAACAATCCTTGTTATAACTACAGTTTTATTTGAATAATATTACAAAAGAACACTGTTGGTTTTGTTAAGTACTTTAAAAAAATTAATATATATGTGAAAAGTTTAATAAATAATTTATTTGCTTTTGTTTGAAATTGCCATTCTTGAATTTATTGAAACATGTCCATACCGATTGATTGTACTGGCAAGTAGTTGTTCATGTAATTTTTTTTCATATTCCTGATGTTTTCCTTGCTGCATTTGTTCTTTTGTAAAACTAGCTTCAGCGTCACCTTTTAAGAAAATAAAATAAAAATTTTATCAGATTTTTTTTTTTTAAAGAAAAATACAATTCTTACCAAGTTCATGCAGATACATGCAATCCACTTTTGGGCAAGGCTGATTTTTAATAAAATGAGAACAATATTTGGTAGTGCCTAAAGACGTTTTGACTGTCCTACCATCAACCGCAATGTTATTTACGGTCTGTATTGCACGAAGGGCATCATCACTTTTCTGGTATGTTACATAAGCACTTGCACTCGGACCCTGAGTAAAAAAGAAAAAAGAAAAGTTAAATAAACTGAACATGTGAATGATCTATGCGGCCTCAGCAACTCGTTAAATGAAGTAAATGCTTAAAAATGGGTTTGCTATTAAACGACTTTTTTGATTTTATGTATTACAATATAAATCACATTCTCAAACACCTATAGATTTTATTTTATTATTAAAAAGTTTTTAAATTTTATTATTGGAATCCGCAAGTGGTTTTTGGTCAATGGATTCAAATTTTAAATTTAATGTATATGTTTTATGTTAACATATTCTTAATAAAAATATAAAAAAATAGTACAGTCTAATAAATTCATTGACCAAATACTTTAACTCCAATTAACAATTAACGACCAGTTGAATTATTCAATTTAATTATCATTTCAAAGATGGTGATAAGAGGTAAGTGGTCATTGTTTATTTATTAAAATTGAGACTGAAAGTGTTTTGTTGGGTAGCTATAAACACACTCCATTCTAAACTTGGCGTTGCTCCGAGTTTTAACATAAAAAGTTTCGCTTTGGAATGAAGAATTTCAAATTAAGCAAAAATAATGGAGTGCTTTTTACATTTTTAATAATAATAAACAAAGAAGTCGCGGGTTGACGTTTAAATTTGTTTTTAAAACCCGATAGAAATAAGTAATTAATTATACACACTTTCTGATGAATAAAATAAAATACCAAAAAAAGGAACAATTATGAGAATATCCAATTTTTTTTCCAAGGTTGTAGATTACATTTTTGTTAGTATAATTTTTGTTTTTTATGTTATATATTTATAATGATAAAAAATATAGATTTAATCAGTAGCAAAAAACTTAAATGTATAATACCTGTGACCCAGCATACGAGGTACTCTGATTTATTACTACTTTGTGTATCTTCCCAAATTTGCCAAAATATTCATGCTTCTTTAACATCTGTAACGTTACAATTTAACCTCAGAAATGGCCAAAAGCCTTGAACATTTTAATTTGAACTTGATAAATTAACTAAACTTACTTCAGGATCTGCCAATCTCACTGGGAGCCCAACGACGAAGACTAAATTTTTTTGAACCACTCGAACGTTAGCTAAGTGTTTACGATTTTCCGTGTTCCTTTGTTTCTTCTGTTGATCCTTTTGCCGCTTTTCAGCTTTCAATTTCGCCACCGCCTCTTGGGTTAGTGGTTTAAAATCAGCTGGATCCTCCGGATACGCCTTTCTACATGCTGGACACAGCCCATTTTCGTCCGTCCTAATTCTATGCCAACAAAATCTGCATATCTGATGGGAAAAAATGTAATTATGAAACAGCTCATAGACAGTCAGGTTATGTAATTATGTGAAGTGTATAATGTAATTGTGAATTTTATAATTAAAGTATGTTTCTGAAAATGAAACGTCAAAATATATTATAATGTCAGTTGATAAATAATTTAGACCTGTACAGTTTTTATAATTTCCACTCATCACTTTGGCTTTATCACTGTTGATAAATTCTCCTAGTAGATAGACCATTACAACAAAGACATTATTAAAAAATAATAAATGTTTTATTCATTTTATTGGAAAAACTCTAAAATGACGTTCTACTCTAATAAAAATATCACCCCACTTAAATTATTTTCCATTAACCAAGCCTTTATATAAAATCAATTCCTCATCAATTTATATATTGGGTTGTCCGGAAAATAATGCAGGATTTTGGTATTAAACAAAAAAAAAGAAACTAGTTACTTTAAAGCAATGTTCTTTAATCAAAATAATTTCCCANAGTAATCCTGTAAACGTAAACAGAATATTTTATATAGATTTTTTTTAATGAAAACTTAAAATCCTGCATTATTTTCCGGACAACCCGATAAAATCCTCACTATGTTTAAAAATCAAAATAATAAAATACTAAGACAAAATAAATTAGTAATTTTTTTCCATCCCAGTACCTGAAGATGATCTGAATAAAGATCGAAATGTTGGCACGACACAGAAAATGTTTTTTTCTAAACCTACATCACAACAGTCCACATCTCACGATCTTAATTGATAATTTTTCTTTTTTTACATTTTTAATAACTCACCATTACAGTTAAATGTTTAAAGGATTATATTCTTGATTTCACAGTAAGGGATGTACTAGAGGGATGAAATATTTAATAAGCAAAATAATGATGTCATGCAAGTACGAACCTTAAAATTTTTTAGGGATGGTTAGGGGGGTTAGGGGTTAAAATTTTTTTTAGGGGGACCGCGGTAGCCGAGTGGTTAGCATGAGAGACTCTCACACCGCGGTCCTGGGTTCGATTCACACCGTCGCCCCTGGCCCTTTTTTCCCGATAACCCCCAATTTGAACAACTTATATAAGAATTCGTCATGGCTAATATGCAAAGATCATAAGGCCAATAAAATTTAAAAAAACCTTAAAATTTAAATTAAAACTCTTATGTTTCTACATTTAATTTTAAATTCATTAGAGTTCGTGGTCCGATTGACCGAATAATGTTTTTCAATTAATTAATTTAATTTTAATTTGTAAGCACCCAATAAAATTGGTATTTATAGGCTCCTTAAAGGTCCGAATAGAAAGATAATTAAGTATAAATTGCCTCGGGCTTTTTATAATATACACTGGTCATTCTTGTACTGGTTTTCCACAATTCCATTTAATCATGCAAGTGCCTTGAATAAAGTTCCCTTGGATGCACCCACATTAACTCTAATACATAACGATTTGTTTTCAGGCTTAATCAACTATTGTGATTGTAATCAACTTTATTTTTTTATTATTCAAATTAATTTCTGTTTTTAATGTAGGGTTAATTAATTGACCCATTTTCTATATAAATTTTGAAATATTTTCAACCTATTTTCCATAATTTTGTGAAACAATGCCACAATGCCTAAGCAATACAATGTAGCCAGATGAGATGAATCGAATGCCTGAAGGTGTAGGAAGGATTAGTCAGCTCGGCAGTATTAAATCTGGTTGCCTCAGCTATCATTAAAGTGGGTGGCATGTCTAAATTATATAGGCAAAACAGAACAATAAATATCCTTGCCAGTGTAAGCATTGTAAATCAAGAGTTATCTTTAAAGAAAAAAATACCAGCAAAGAAAACTTCAAAGTAAGATTATTCTAATTGAATTCATATTTCTAATTAATATCACAGAAGCCGCATAAACAGTTTTTTTAAATAATTAAAATGTGATCAAAACCTAAGAGCAGAAGGAAGTTAAACGTAATAAATAAATAAAAATTAAAAAATCAAGTGAAATCATACCGAAGAGATTCAATATTCTGTGACAAAGCACATTTTTTCTTACAAAAGAATTTTCTACACAACAAAAGCAGGGAATTTTATTGACGGATAGATGTACTTAACTGTTATAAAATGCAATGAAAATTAAATTGTACCATACCTTCAAAAAAATAAATAAAAAATAATCCAGCCAAAATGTCAAAACATCTAGTTACAAGGGTAAATTAATGTATTTTTTGTTTTGTTTTAGTGAAATACAAAAATATGCCATAAAATGCACAAATATATTGAATACATAAATAATATAATTAATAGTAATGTAATTATTAATTATATTAATATTATGAAATTTTTTATGAAATTAAAGATTGATTCAAAAGTTGTATTATACCTTGGTCAAAAATGTATAGTGCCTTTTTACAGACACACATTTGTCTAGAAACTCGAATTAATTTAAAACGAAAATTGGAATACTACCAACTTATATTTTTAAAATTATATACAAAAAAATCAGGGAAAAGGCAAATTTGAAAGAAAAGAAATCACTCAGTTTGTTCATCAATCTTTCGAGGAATACACCTCTTTCATCAGAATTTTAAAATTATTTCTGATGATTTAAACGTTTCACAGATATAAACATCTACTTACAATGCTTGAAATTATGGCTTCAACCATAATAAATTTATGAGTTTTGCTTTGAAAAGTGGTCGAGATCTTTCACCCGTGTTTTATATAATGGCTGAATCTTGTGGAAATTACCTACTTTTGAGAAGGTGCCTCGAATACATTTGATTTTATTTCAAAAACTGCATTATTAGAAGTTGCAAGAAAAATATAGTCATTTTTACGAACTTTTTTTTAACTTTTAATGGCATTTTTAAGATTTTTTCTCTTTCAAATTTGCTTTGTCCCCAATCTTTTTTGTATATAATTTAGTACTGTAGTATGTTAAATATATCAAAATAATAGTTGATGTATTAGAAAAACACCATATTTTTTGTATAAACTAGAAGATAATTTAATCAAATTATATAAAGAAAATCACACTAAAAATATGATTAAAAAGGAATGGTGCACTCAAGCGGCTAAGTTCTCATACATTAAGAGTGCAGTGAAAACGTGGATTTCATAAGAATGGGCCATGTGAGGTTGATACATGTGCAGTTTTGAGCTAAAGCCCTATGGTACTCAATGTGTCCCACATAACTGAAGATTGTCATTCCTTGGCCCTTTTAGGATGTATAGTTCCACCCGAATTGAGAATTTTGCTTGAGCACTGCGAGTATTTGGGTCCCTGTTCCAATTTGTATAGGAAACAGAGTTTTTTTTAAATTTAAATGTAAATAGAACTTTATAGATCTTGCCTTGTGTTTATTTTTGTATATTAAAAGTGAATATATTTATTAGTGTGCATGTGTAATGTGAGAGGGTTGATGGTGGAATATTGAGTACTCCACCTTAATTAAATGATGTGTGTAAATAGGAAAGAAAGTTTGGATGCCAGCAGCTCGGGGAAACTTGGCCATGTGGAGCACCAAGTTACAATGATGGCTGATGGCCATTTACTTGATGACTCCCCAAGTAACAAAGGGAGAATCTTATAGGGAGGGAAAATGTAGCAACCAAGTGGATCGCATTTCTCCAGGCAGGAGCATGCATACCAAGGCACTTCAGGAAAGAAGGTGATCTGAAGTGAACTGCAGCATTTTCCAGAAGAAAGATTGACCAAACTCACCGGGTGTCTCTGGGCAAGGAGGGATGATTAGTGAATAATACATATTTGTCACAATATAGTTTTTTTATCACTTCACAACTTCAAGTACGAGCTCTTTACAGTAGTTTCATTCTGGAGAAATTGCATGCACCAACTATCGGGTTGTCCGGAAAATAATGCAGGATTTTAAGTTTTCATTAAAAAAAATCTATATAAAATATTCTGTTTACGTTTACAGGATTACTCATTTGTATGAATGTCAACACTTATTAATCCTCTTCCAAATGATATTGTTTGTTTACCTCTGTAGCATTCCGCTACTTGGAAATAATTCAGTCATCCTTATAATGTCAAAGCGAGAATTTCGTACGATTTTCTTTTACGAGTTTAAACTCGGCCGAAGCGGAGCCCAAACGGCTAGAAACATTAACCAAGTCTGGGGCGAGGGTTGTGTTAATGAGTGCACTGTGCAAAGGTGGTTTAAAAAATTTCGGGAGGGAGATTTCAGCCTTGAAGATGAAGAAGGTCGTGGAAGGCCTTCCTCTCTTAATGATGATGTTCTGCGATCAGTGGTGGAAGAAAACCCCAAAACAACTGTTCGAGAACTTGCAGAGCAACTCAAAGTCAGTAAAACGACCGTCGCTGACCACCTCAAGGCGATTGGAAAAGTGAAAAAACTCGAAAATTGGGTTCCACACTCATTAAACGATCGCCAAAAAAATCAGCGCTTTGATGTTTGTGCATCACTTCTTTGTCGAAACAAAAATGACCCATTTCTGGCCAGAATTGTTACATGTGACGAAAAGTGGATTCTCTACGATAACACTAGACGTTCTGGACAGTGGCTCGACAAAGGAGAAGCTCCAATACATTTTCCAAAGCCCCCAACTCATCAAAAAAAGGTAATGGTTACGGTATGGTGGGCTTCATTTGGTTTAATACACTACAGCTTCTTAAATCCTGGCGAAACCATCAATGCTGAATCATACTGTAACCAAATTAATACCATGCATCAGAAATTGGCAGTAATGAAGCCCTCTTTGGTCAATCGGAAAGGGCCCATTTTGTTGCATGACAACGCTCGACCACATGTGTCACGTGTAACGTCACAAAAATTATTGGAGCTTGGCTATGAAACTTTGCCTCACCCACCCTACTCTCCGGACCTCTCGCCTACTGACTACCATTTTTTTAGACACCTGGACCACTACTTACAACACATAATATTCAAAAATCAAACGGAACTGGAAAATGCATTTATTGACTTTATCAATTCTAAAAATTCTGAATTCTACTCAGACGGAATTAATAAGTTACCAACACGTTGGGAGAAATGTATTGAGAGTATGTATTTTGATTAAAGAACATTGCTTTAAAGTAACTAGTTTCTTTTTTTTTGTTTAATACCAAAATCCTGCATTATTTTCCGGACAACCCAATAACTTATCGTCCCAACTAGGTTGACTTATTTACCACCAAGTAGGGCAAAGTGTAGCTTCCAGAGTGCACATTTTTTACTCTACCCCTTCTTAGGTGATGACACAAATTACAAACTGTCCTGTCAGTAGTTTTAGATTTAAAAGCCGGTGCATTGGTGGCTGAAATGATCTAGCCTTCAGTGGCAGGACGGATAAAACTGAGGCCTACTAAAAAACGTGAGTGAGTCATGATCCTTGCCGGTAATCCATGAGAAGTCATAAGCCCGATTCTGTATAATGTAGTGTGATGGGATTATACAAATTAGTAATTTAAAAAAATCCAAATCATTTGTAAATTAGCACAAGGATTGGTAGCATAAAACTTTAATATTGATTAACTAAAACTTTAAAGATGTAAAACACGATCATTTAAAACCATGAATCAATTCATACTGAATAATTTCCCAGTTGTAATATATAAACTAGAGCGTATAGACTCTTACCTGGTAACCACAAGTACACGGGAAGAAGTATAGATCATCGACTTCTAATGGCTCCATACAAAGAGGGCATTCCACCTGTTCTTCACTGCTTTGGTTCAACACAGACATAGCCTGAAATAAATACCAATTTAGACAGATCAGTCTATAAATGAAAAAATATAGTTTTGGGACAAATTGAATTTAACATAATCCTAAACTGCTAATTGTATTGCGTTTACCAATTTAAATACCGTTAAGTCCATATGATGATAAATTCACTGTTATATCTTAGAGAAAAATCTTTTTTTGTTGAATTAAGAAACAAGGGAAATATCTTTACTTCATTCCCCATGATTTTTTAAATATTTTTTTCTTAAAACATGGGCTTTTTGAAAGAATAATTGATAATGCGTATGGTGAATATAATCTATCAACTGAGCGATTAACATTTAAAATATATCACATACAAGAGTATTAAAATGTGTTTTAATTCGAAATATCTGTACGACAAATTAAATCAGCCAGATCAGCACTGAACAGTAATACAACCTCACAACCTGATTTAATTTACTTTCTTTGAGAGAAAAAAACTTAAACTTAAGACCTTCAACGTTTATTCCTTATTGCAGTCACTAATCCATACCTACTTTGTTTTTCTATCGGTAACCGGGTCCTGTCGGTTCAACAAAAACAGAAAAAAAGTGTTAAGTGCCAAAAATTAATATATTAAAAAACGAAACCATATGTTACAGAGAAAGAGAGAAAATCTGTGAATGTGTCAATAGCTTTTTTTTCTATAAATAGATGTTGCTATTTGCCATAAACAAAGAGTGTTAATGTGTTTTTGACGCTGTAATCTCAAAAACTTATCGAAAAGAAAAAATACAAAATTAGAATTATATCTTGAATCTGAAATACGATTTCTTTAAAAAAAAAAAGTATTATCAAGACAATTAAATGATACAAAAATGTTGTAAAACACTGGCAAAAATAAAACAGGTTTTGGAAAGTTGATTACACCTAAATAATTCAAACAGGCCAAAATAAAATTGGTTTATATATTAATAGGTTAAACTTGGGTGCCATTCCTCGACTCCTTATAGAGATATAAGATCCTTAGAGAGATGTAGGCATACTATCTGATATGAGAATTGGCTTGAGCAAGAATTTAGGCCCCTGTCTGATTTTTGGAGTTATTTTATTGTATATAGTACTTATCGATCTTGTTTTCTGTCCCCCAGGGTGTGTTGAGAATGAAAATATTTATTAGCGTGAAAGTGAAGTGTGAGATGGCTGATGGCGGAATATTGAGTGAGTACTCCACCACCCTGAGTGGTTGTATGTAAATAAGAAAAAATATTTAAGAATGAGAGAGTGAATGGGTTTGGATTTAGGAAGTGATTACGTTAGGGACTGAAATGACCTAGCTGAAGATAGCTCCTAAGCTCAACCCCAGTAGCTGGGCGGATAAGATAAGTCTGACCCAGGGTTGGTGATTCTCAAGGTTTGCCAGTAATTTATTGGAAATAACTAAAGCTGCAGTTACCGATGGACTGTATTAAGTGAGGCTCAACTCTGTGAAGGACAAATCTGGTACATGCAGAGTTGAGCAGTAATAACTTTTAGATATATTGTATTTTATGTTGGGTAAAGCAACTAAGAAAGGTTAAATAGTTTAAAACATGGTTGCTAATTTAATATGGTTCAATCAGGTTTTGGCCTAGATTAAAATGAACAAAGGAATAACCGCATCAAACACAATGAACTTATATTACAAAAGCTAAAATAGTTCAATTTCAAATGAAGTTTTCTAGTTTTGAAGTTTTTTTTTCAAGTTGGACTTGAAAAGAGATCTCAAGAAGTCCACCCAACAATTGACCCAGGGCGTTTGATTCTGGGTTGGACTCTGGACCTTACAATTCCGGTCGCTTCAAAGAATAACTCCAGACCAAATCAGATTATCAAGATGTCAAAACATTCGAGAGTGAATATTGAATACCAATACCTACGGTGTGAAGCATTGCTGTTGGTTAGCGGGCGTAAGTTGATGAAAGAGTTAAACATCTTCAGTTGACAGGATCGGAACCATAAATATAAACACGGTGGAAATGAATGCGTCGATATTCCTAATCTTATTGACAGGAAGTTCGATGTTACCAAGCCTGACCAGGTCTGGTGACAATGAATGGGCATTATAATTATATTGCCATTGACGATGGCAGCGATGGTATTGCTTCAATAAATCGCACAGCCATATAAGGTCAGAAATGCGCGCTTATTGAAGCAAAAGTGTTAGGTAGAACTTGTGTTAATTTTGGTTGTGTACCCAAAAAGATCATGTGGTATGCTGCACAGGTTGCAGAAGCCATTCAAGTTTACGGCCCCTATAATGGTTTTAATACACATATTAATCAATTCAACTGAAATAAACTGTAAGGAACTCTACACAGTACTTGGGTTAACCACTGATGGGCATAAGGAATTGGGCGGTATGTATCTGAAATAGAAGGGGCACATCATTGGCTTAGTGTGCTGACTGACCTACATAACCGCGATGTACAAGATATTTTAATCACCTATGTTGACGGATTAAAAGGCTTTCCAGAAGCCATTGCCAATATTCTTCAGTTGTTTTGTCTTTGATTGAACAATATTCTAGGGAAAAGTCGAGTCCAGTTTGTAAATCTGTTATGAATTTTTGTTCCGAAGTGCTGCCAAAGCTGTATTGGGTGAAACATATTTAAAAAAGTTTAATGTGTTTGAAACATGATTGTTAATAATCTAGAAATGTAGTTCAATTAGGTCGTGGCCTAGATTAAAGAGAACAAAGAAACAATCTCGACAAACCCAATGAACTTATATTGTGAATTAGGGCATTTTCAACAAAGTTTTCTAGATTTGTTTTTATAAGTGGATTTGGAGTCTCAATAAGTCCACCCAACAACTGACCCAGGGAATTCGATTTTGGACCTGACAATTCTGGTCGCTTTAAAGAATAACTCCAGACCAAATCAGATTATCGAGATGTCAAAACCTTCTAGAGTGAATTTTACAATAAGGACACAACAGCTTATATGTTGAAAAAGCCATCATCGTGCAATTGACATTTTTCACGAATCCCATGACCGAAATAGTGTATGATATTGAATAGGAAAAGAATATTAATAGTGGAGGAAATGGAGAAATAGCAACATTGAAAGGCAGCTTCCTACTTTTGAGTATGGTGTAATTTATGTTTATTTTAAAAGGAATAAATTTTAAATCTATGACCAAAATAAAAGTTAGGCTTAACTGTTATCAAGACAGGTGTTTAATTATTGTTGGAAATTTGGCAATGATAAATATGGTAACAGACTTTACCAAGTCTGGTGAATGGCAAAATTGTACGCCATGTAAAAAGGGAAAGTAATTTTAAGACAGGAAACACTGTGTGCTAAGCCTTTTTGACTTTGATTGAACAATATTCTAGTGAAACATTGAGTTCAGTTTGTAAATCTGTTATGAATTTTTCTTCCGAAGTTCTACAAAAGCTATACTGAGGAAACAATTTTAAAAAATTTAATGAGTTTAAAACACGATTGTTAATAATCTAGAATGTAGCTCAATCAGGTTGTGGCCTAGATTAAAATGAACAAAGGAACAATCTCGACAAACCCAATGAACTTATTTTGTGAATTAGGTCATTTTCAGCAAAGTTTTCTAGATTTGTTTTTACAAGTGGATTTGGAGTCTCAAGAAGACCACCCAACAATTGACCCAGGGCGTTTGATTCTGGGTCAGACTCTGGACCTGATAATTCCTGTCGGTTTAAAGAAAACTCAGGACCAAATCAGATTATCGAGATGTCAAAAACTTCGAGTGAATTTTACAATACGGACACAACAGCTCAAATGTTGAAAAAGCCATCATTGTGCAATTGACATTTTTCACGATTCCCTCGACCAAAATAGTGTGTGATATTTAGTAAAAAGAGAATATTAATAGTGGAGTAAATGGGGAAAGAGCAACTTTGAAAGGCAGCTTCCTAGTTTTGAGTATGGTGTGATTGTGTTTATTATAAAAGGAATACATTTTAAATCTGTGGCCAAATTAAAAGTTAGGCTTAACTGTTATCGAGACAGATGTTTAATTATTGTCGGAAACCTGACAATGATGATAAATATGGTAACACACTTTACCAAGACTGGTGAGTGGCGAAATTATACAACGCCGTGTCAAAAGGGAAAGTAATTTTATGACAGGAAACAATAGATGGAAAGTCTTTTTGAATTTGACAATTTAAGAATATTCGAGTGAAACAAACTGAGGCCAATTTGTAAATCTGTGATGAATTTTTCTTCCGATGCTATATCAAACCGTGCAGACTCGGGGAAATAATTAAACGGAACTCGGTGCCGTTTCAACGTCCGATTATTATAAAACGGACCTGGGTAAAGTCGAAAAATTCCTTTTTTTCCCACTTCGAGCTAAACAATCTTTGAAACAAACTCAGTAGACGTGTAAGCGGATCGTACCAATTATTGGAATAGGGAACTTACGGAGAATATCAAACTTACCAAATTTAAATAAAAACGGCTAAAACGAATTTTACTATTTCGTGAGCAACGAACGTAATTATCACTGGGACGGTTTACACGTATAATAAATAGACCTACTCAAAGAACATTTAACCAGGAAATTTATGGTTGATGAATTCGGTTACAATGCGCAGCTGTCAGCGCATACCCATCAAAACTTTACATTGTAAGTTTTAACACTGTTCGCCCTACAACATATGTTTATTAAAACGATAAAAAACAATTATATAAAGGCCTGGTGAAAATAATTAAATAAACAAATGATATTCGAATTAAATTATTTTTATACTGGTCGAGGTTAAGCTGAAATAACACAAAGGCCATTGTACTTCAATATGAGCGGGAAATTTAAAATTCACTCCCTCTCCATTTTGCTCAAAATTATTCTTTATCTCTTTAAAACCCAATTTTAAAAAATCTCTCGAGAAAAGCATTTATCTCACCATTAAGATTCTAGTTATAACTAGCATTACTAATAATAATCAATAAACCCTTACAGGTGCCCCTTAAGCCCTCCGTACACCTACGATCAAACGTACGTGCAAACATACGATGTAAAACAAGCTGTTGTGCAAACAAGGTCCCCTAATACACTATATGCTTTTTTTTTTTTTTTTTTTTTTTGCAAACTCCAGTAGCTTTTGTCTTGTTTTAATGGTAACATGACATCTCGCAATGCTGCCTGTTTAGTTATAATAATTTCTATTGTGTCGGATGTTGGTGTTAAAAAAAGAAAAAGGAAGAGTCTGGATGAAAGAGTGGTTAAAGAAAAGATCTGTTTTTGAGGGTTTAAAGTTTGAAACAGTGATTGCTGCTAAAACACTTGGAAAGATTGTCATGGAGACCTGGATTGCCATGGAGAAAAAAAAAGACAAATATGAACTAAAAATTAACACTAATGAAACATTTTAATAAAGTAATACCATTATATATTTACTGAAATTGCGGGTCAGAGAATAGGCCAGATACTATAGCATATTGTACTGGTGTGTTCTCTGTTGTAGTTATCTGTACTGGGGTTGGGGGATATGAGTATGATTGGCTATTATTTGAATGTGTTGAAGATGCATAGTAGGAAGAAATTGCAGAGGACGGACGTGAAGTTGATTAATTTATATTATTTTATTATTATTTTTTATTATTTTATAGTAACTGAATTTCTGTGACAGTTGCGCAATGCCACTTGTTGGGCAATTGATTTCAAACAGTTTTGAATTTCTGCAACTAGTTGCACAGTACCTCAAACAACACCATATACCATACAACTGTTTGCATAACAGCCTCAGTTGTGCAATTTGTTCGTAGGTGTATGGGGGACGTTATGCTGAGAAAGCTCGATGTGTCCCACATAGGTTCTCGAGCCACAGTCGGTTTCTTCGTCCTCTGTCTAGAGGGTGTGGGGGTATTTTACTGTGCATAGTTATACATGTTTTGTTTGAATGTGTGTATTTTAGTGTGTGGTGAGGGGTGATGGTGAAATAGTGTCACCATCACCCCTCAGTGTGCTTAGGGTAGATTTTTTTTTTTTTACATTAGTACATCTAGCCATTCCTGTGATCCATCCTAACCATCCCTTAGGGTAGATGGCAGAATATTTATAGAAGTACCCCACTGACCTTAATTTTTGTTATATTTTTAATACTGTGTATGATGGAGGTATTCCACCTACTAAACAAAATGAGTGCAATGTAGTTTTGTGTGACTGATTTATTCAATTTAAGTAGCATTAGGCTAGATTATAATCTGCATGCTTTTTGGGGCTGAAATGACCTAGCTGTCGATAGCCCCCGCCAGAGCCTCTCCTGGGCATTTGGCTTAAGAGGGATATGAGCAACCCAGCCACATAACGTGGCGGGTGAACTCCATGATGGGGGTGAAAGCCCGAATAGTAAACAAACTATACTTTATATATTAGTATATAATATTTTATATAATTTATTAGGTTTCGTTGTCCCTTGACCAAATAAATTCTTTTCAATTAATTAATCTTTAATTAAGGTTTTAGTTGAGATAAAAAAGTCACTGTTTGATCGAAGTCACGATAGCTCAAGTGGTAGAGCAGCGGCGTATTTAGCCGGTCGTGGGTTCGAATCCCACTTGTGACCCTGACTTTTTATCTCAACCAAAACCTTAATTAAAGATTAATTTTATATAATAAAAGAATTACGCAAAAAAAAAACACAAATTGTATTTTTATATATAAATTTAGTTTATTATTATTATTAATTTTTAAGGGCGTTTTAACAGCTAAGGTCATTTCACGTCCTAACATCCCAAACCTATTTTAGTTTAGCTATATTTAGTTTATTGTTTATTATTATTTTTATAGATATTTTATAAATTTTGTTTATCTACTATGTAAATTGTTGGTTTATAACCTTGTGATTTATATTCTTTGTAAAAGGATCTTTGATCAATATTTCGTAAAAATAAATTATAATTTACTTAATACGACTATATTATTTCAAAACAATATGTAAAGTTATTCCCTTTAATTTGTTTAAATGTATTAAAATTTAGATGAACAAACTCAATATTTGGACATATCTTATTTCTTTTTCTCATTTTTCTATTTATTGGTGAATAAAATATAGATTTATATAGATAAATATTTATCATCATATAAATAAAAACTGGAGTAGTTTAAACAAGAATGGAGGAGAATAAAAATTTAAAACAATAGGGGGCGGTCCTAATTTTTTTTTTTTTTTAACTTATCCATTTTTGGGTATTAAGGCAGAGTAAGAAACATGCCGATAAATTAGGCAAGGAAAGTTCGATGATTGGCTCTGAACTCTTTTGTGGCATACCAAACTGGTTGCTGCAATAAAATTTGTCATGACACTCATTAACAGGACTGGGATGCGATCAGATCTCAGTAGCCCTGAATTTGGTCCCGACGCCCTTTAAAAATGAGTTTCTTTGATGGAAGAACGAGGGCTCAGTTCACATACATGTTGCAAATGCCCAAAAATGGAGCCAAAGAGTATAGTAAGCTATAGAACTGCAGTGCTCGGGGGGGCTTCAGTTCCTGGTATCCACTACAATTTAAAAAAAATTACATTAAAAAACAAATGCAAAAACTTAGATCTATCAGACAATGAATTAAAACTTAAAAATAAGTCCTCCGTTCATTAAAAATCCATCCCAGGAGACAGAGGCATGTGAAAAATGACATTAAAGGACTGTCACAGAAACACGGCAGAACTACTACTAGGATGTGTTAGGTCTAGAGTATTAGTTAGACTGCTAATTGGACTGGATTCTGTATATATAGATTTGGATGGCAGAAACAAGCCTGTGCTTACATTGCCAGGAAAAAGTAGAAATAGCAGAATATGTCCTCTGTTGGAACGAAAGCTTTTGCAAGATGACATTCGTACTCCAGGGAGGGTAAAAGCTGAAATTTACACATGGGGGTACTTGAAACAGCTTTGGAATATGGTAAAAGACTTAATAAGGACAATAGACCAATACTGGTCACATTGCACAGGTCGTAATAAGGCCAACTCCTCAAATCTAATCTAATCATTAAAATATAATTTGGAGAATCCTTAATTATAATGTCAAGAATTACTAAAAATTCAAACACATCCTAATGGATTTCAAGTAGTTCTGCTGTTAATTTCTGTTCCGGGTTACCCCTATTCTAAGGGAGGATTTATTTAATCTATTGCCATCCTTCCAAGCATCTTATACCTAATCTATTGCTCCTACCTCACTGGATTTATCGGATCATTTTGTGGATCATATACTGTAGCAAAGATCTCTCTCCCTCTAAGAAATAGAACAATTGTAAGGGGGCAAAAATGGTTTAATTGCAGCTTACTTGCATTTTGCTCAGTGTCTTCATATAGTGGAGGAATGTCGCGTTGGGTTGTAGATCTTTTCTTCTGCTGGCAACTCCTCAGGAGGGCATAACATCTACTCAGACTTCAGACCTCTGCTGATTTTGAACTGCATTGCCTTTTCTAACTGTATCTGAGTTCAACTGATTGACCAGTACAAGTCTTATAGCCTTGCTGATAAGGTTGTAAATGACCTTGGGTAACAAGACCTCACCCCCATGGATGGAGCATAGGAAAGAATGTAGACCTCAGGCTAGGCCTCGGTTGTGGTACAACACTACAGCAACAAACTTCATTTCTACTATATTTGGTACATTTTTTAATGATTTTAAGTTTACTTATAAAGATATTTTAATATTGACTTAAAAAACGTGACACAGCTTTTTTTCCCTACCTGTATGTATCTAAAAGATAAATTATTACACAACATTATAAATATATTTATTTTATTTATTATTAACAAAATATTACAGAATAAATCACTGTGTTATTGCATGTCATAAAACACACTCTTAAGGCTAATTTACATTTAACAAGATTGTGGAGTTAGGAGATCTTTTATTTTAATTTTAGGCGGAGGGAGTTTGACGGGTCGGAGATAAGGGTTGTCGATTTGGTCGTTGTCAATTTTCGATGTTTCTTCTTCATCCTCTTCCTTTATCTCCTTCCCTTTTTTCCTTTGAGGGCTTCTGTTGTTCATATCGTACTCATTGTATTCGAAAATTTGGTCTTTTGGAAGGAGCGCTGTTAGGTACGGGGAGTACTGAGGTTTACAGGCGATCACTGAAATATGTTTGTTAGATAGCGGTGTGCGGGGGGAAAAAAAAGAAGTAAACACTTACGTGGAAACATGCTGTCGTGTGTCAAAAACAAGCTGTCAGTTTCCCTGATTTTCGAAACAAATTTATTCAGGGCTCTTTCGATATCTCTTTTCTGGACAGCGGACTTTTCCCTAATTGCTTCATACTCAGTTACAGGCTGTTTATGAGTCTGAAATACAAATAATTAGTCTTAATTATATGAAGCTAAAAATAAAATACTTTCCACAACAAAAAAATTATCTTCTGTCAATTCAATCAAGAAAATTTCCTTTTTATCGTATTTAATTTAAAAGTTATTTTTGAGCGTTTTATTTTTACTATGACTGTGACAATACCTGTATTTTTATTTCTTGGTAACTTAGGGATTTATAATAAACCTCATTATGTAATGTTTCAGCCTGGAGTTACTCATTTAGAGAAAAAAAATATAAAAAAAATAAATAAATAAATAAGCAGGAAGAAAAAGAAGATAAAAAATGCATAAATATTTTCTTTCTTGTATACGATATTATTTTAAAGAGGCATGTTATGTAAGGCAAAAATAAAAATTTTATATTTAAAAATGACCTTATCGTGCTTTTATGCAGAAGTCAGAAAAAAAATTAAAAAGTATGAAAAATTAAACTGATTAAAATGTATGATTACAGCCAGAGCAAAGTAAGAGAAATTACCTTTTTTTAATAGGGGAGGAAACAGCAATAAAAAGTTTAATAAAGTCTGTGCAACATATTATATGACAAGTTTTTAGCTGTTATGAATATATATAAAGTGGGTAAGCAGGAAATTAATAATGTTCCTAGTTTAAATGGCCTAATTTACTGGTTGATATCGCCAGACAAATCTGACCTTCAATTATAAATCTCAAAATATTTTTAAAATTAAAACTAAGAGCTTAATTTTGTATTAAAATAGACTGAATTTTTAAAAACATTTCATTTTATTAAGGAAAACATTCGATATTTTCTACATTCGCAAACACCGATGTTGAATTAGGGTAAGTCAAGATAATAAATTATGAATTAATACTGTTCATATTTACAGGAGTTCTGATGTATGCGTGTGGATCTGGAAACGGCGGTAAATGTGACGGGACGTGAGGCGGATGCTCTTGTTTCACACCGGCTTGGAGGATATCCAGCTCTTTCGGTTCGACCGTCTTAATCGGCGCTGGGACCGAAGATTTGTTTAGCCTTTTTGCATAACTCTCGAGTTCGCTTAATCTAATGCCCATGTTGATGAGTGACAGGATGACGTCTGCGAACAAAGGCTCTGTGCGCCCGGCCAGCTCATGATTGACTCTGCTGCTGTTTCCTATTTCAACGATAACTGTAAAAACAAAATTATTTTTTAATCATGCTTAATATTTTTCGCAGTACTATTTATTAAATAAAATTTATATTTAATCTTTGAAAAAGTAGTAATCGCCATTAAAGGATTTCACTTTAAAAACGTTTTCCTTCATTCTCAGGGATACTGCCAATTTTTAAGAATTTATTTTCCCTAGCATTTTTTTTTTTTTTTTTGTATATGTGTATATGTATATAATTTTTTTTTTACTAATGTTAAATTTTGTTAAATAACAATATATATCATTGTTTGTTGTATCTCTAGATGCAGGTACAAATTTCATACAAAAAAAAGTTTTAAGGGGTTGGCAAACTACATTGGTGATCACCATCTGTCTTTTTCTTTGCTTTTCTTTTCCTGTCTTTCTCACGTATTAATCATTACTTACATGACCATTAATTACCAAGTTATGATCGGTCCAACTCTGGTTACTCACTCTCTCTTTTCATTATCCTATTGACAGCCTCTCTGTACCTCAAGGCCTTGTCAAATTTTGTAGGAAATAACAAATACAAATACACATAAAACAGAAAAAAGACGAAATATGATAGTCCGGTTAGCATTCACAACCGGTATTCATTGGGGTAACAAATTTCAAATTTTATTTAAATAATGTTCGTGTAGGACAACATTGTTTGTGTTATGATTGTCGCTTTTCATTTCTGTGACTTCGTGGATATTCCAGTCAGACTACCGTATCCTGTTGCAAAATTAATCTATAAGTGAAAAGTATAAGTCTTCCTGTCTTGAGAAACGTCCAACCACTCAAGTGTTGTGGATGAAGAGTCAGATCTTTTTATTTTATTTTTTTAATTTTCAAATAAAAATTTGGGCCTTGCCAGAATTCGTTTCCAGAATGACAGGTCAGACGCTGGCCACTCCAATCCCAACAAGCCAGATCAGTCAAATGAGACAATTGTTGAATTACATTGTTAAAAAAAAAATATAAAAAAAAAACAAAAAAAAACGTTAATTTGATGAGAGAAGAGAATGTCTCAATGTTTATCAAGAAGGTTAATGTTAAGGTTAAAAGAAATCAACCTCTTTATGACCAATAATGTTCTACTGTACAATCTTTATTATTATCCAAATCTCTTTGTTAAGCTTAATGCTTTTTAACAGATCCCAAAGCTTTAAGTGCTCACATCATCCTTCAGGAATTTTCCCCAAGGAGCCTGTATAGAACTTCGCACCAACAGAGGACATGTTCCGACGTTTTTTCTTCCCGGCAATCTACACACAGGCTTGTTTCTACTGCTCGGAGTTTATGCACATGCCTTTGAATCTGCAGTGTCAAGTCAGTACTCAGTAGTCCTATTATCATTCTAATACAATTCACCCACTTTGATCAGCATCGGTCTATTGTGCATCTTTATTATTATCTAGAGCTTCTCGTTAAAGTTTTTTACCAGATCCCAAACTTTATTAAAGAATCCCAAGTGTATCCTTCATGCCTGGATTTTTCTACTCCCAGGAGTAGGAATCTAAGCTTGCATAAACCTTTGCACCTACTGAGGATGTGTTTTTTCTTCTTTCTGGCAATAGCTGCACAGACTTGATTCTGCTGATCCGAGTCAATATGTCGCCTCAGGAGGCTGTAGTGTCCAGTCAGCAAGCCAACTATTATTCTAGTCTTAAATGTCCTAGATTTGGTTATATTGCCGACGCCAAGTTTATGCGCTGGTCCTTCGATGAATTTTTCCTAACCACTGCCTGGAAAACAATCACATCGGTGGCCGCAACAGTTTAGGCATTGACAGGGCACTCTCTCACTGTAAGGTAAAGGTCCTGGGTTCGAATACAGCGGCCCTGCATTCAAACCGACATACTTACAAATGGTTTTTTTTCAAAGACATCGGCACCCCGAGGGTTCATATAAACTTGTAGGTGAAATACCCCCATTATATATATTTAAAAAAAAATCATTCCTAGGACTTTTAAACCCATTTTCTGATTGATTTATATTTTTTGTCCAGTTTGATATGCTGCAAAAGGGCTCAGGGATGATAGGTTTCCTTACTGAACTGACCAATTTATCAGCCTCCACATTGCACCTCTGATATGTATGCCCTGACACCAAAACAATGGTGATTTTGTTGTTGTCCCTAATGTCTGATACCTTGATACCCTGGGCTTTACAACAGATGATATAGTGGCTTTAGTGCCCCCTGGCTGTCCGAGTAGTTGGCTATTCTTTTGTCAGAAATATCCAACATTTTGGTGGTTTTTTTAGGCTTATTTCTTGTTGTGTTCTGAAAATCTAGGCATATGCCTCTAGAGTCAGAGTCCTACTATCATTCTAGACCTAGGTTTAGTAGTTCTGTCGTTTCTATGGTTATCCTTTGACTAACATTTTCACAGACTCTGTCATTAGGACAATCCAACTGAACATTACTTTTATTATATTTGTAACATCCCAAGACCTCTAAAACTATCAGCCCAGAATGATCATGTCAATCTAGTTTGCTCATTTCCAGTTATTTTGGTCAGCCCATATACAATTGTTTTTGTTCTTTTCAGATGCGTGTGGGCTTCATGATTATTTATGTTATATAATCAAACAGAGAGACCAACATGTTCCTTGTAAACCTCGAAATGAAATATCAATATCGTCTGAAAGTCACCTTTGCCTGTTCTGTGACTTTAAAGGTTTTCAAATCAAGGTTGACTGTTCCATCACCCATCATCATGATGCATACCAAACAATCCCTGAACAATGTATCGACTGCTTATTCATAGATCATGTGCAAACCTTTCTAAAATTCTACCAGCTGACTTTTAAAAGCTGAAATGGCACAATTAAGCTTTAAAGTTACAACGTTAGACACAATTCTAAACATTTGAGATACCACGTGGGATGTAAATTTCCCAGCCAAAAAAGACTGACTAAGAGAAAATGTCATACTCACTACTTTGTAACATTTCGGTCAAAGTTTCCAACGCTGTCTGTTCTGCTGCGTCGAAGCCAGCTTCCACAAGTGAACTGGACACAGCGGCCAGTAACACTTTCCTGTGGATTTCGAACATTTTGATAGCCATTTTTAGCTTCAATTTGTACCGAAATAGAGGTGATACTCGATGTTTGGTTGAACCCTTGCAGGCCTTCTTTTTTCCTAATTCACGAAAATAAATACAGTGGGCTAGGGTTAACTTTCACAGAATCAAAAACATCTGCGACGTTTAAATACGAGGAGGGATAAATAATAGACTGAAAAATGAGAAGCAAAACCTTCACAATGCAAACATAACCCAATACTATAGGTACATGGGTAGGTAACAGGTACTAGATTGGATAAAGTGAACGATGCTAGCGCCTTCACCACTATCTAGATCGTCCTTCTGTAAAGCTGACTTTTTAATCAACAATAATTTAAAATATAACACAAAAAATCCCAGTTTTTTTAGGTTAAGTTCTATACAAATTTTAAGTTTAAACTGTAGGCTTATGATATAGACTTTAGAGCTATCTGACTATCTGATAGTACCTTTATTTTGAAAAATCTACCTATCTAACATATTTTTATGGAATCCTCGGTTAATTAGTTTATTAAATACTAATGAGATTAAATAATTGTTGGACCCAAAATTTCAATAGTGTCGTCATATCAGTATTGATGGTTCTTGATGGTTATAACGCTCAAATTTGAAAGTAATGCTATCAGCTGTACTACGTTTAACTTTTATGTTATCAATTTGTTTTATCAGTAAACAATAACACAACGTTTCTACTTTTGTACGACCTGTTGAATTTTTATTTAAATTGTTTATTAATGCAATGATAATAGTTTAAATTGCTAGTTAAAAAAACAATTCTGTTTAATTTATGCAATCATTACACTTTGCTGAATTTTCTGCTGGCTCAAAACACTCTCAGCATGGAGGATTCGAATTTAAAATTTTTAAATTTTTACTCCGTAGTCGAGCCGACTTTTTGGCATAAATTGTGTCAGATCAAACTTGACAATGACATGCTCGAGGAGAAAGAAAAGACAATTACAGGATCTTTTTTAAACAGCGTTGGAATGTCGTTTCATATCGATTACACCTCTTTTGAAACGTGAGTAACTTTTAGAACATAAATTTTGCACATAAAAATCTAACGTTTTTGAAAAATATTAAAAATTTTCGGTTTTAATCATTGAGATATTGTTTTACGTACTACCTCTCTATTTGACTCTTGTCAAATCCTACACTGTTAGAATTTGATAGCTGTACTATAGCTATAGCTATAATAATATATAACAAACCCATCTTATACTGTACATATTGACAAACAACAGGGTTTGGATCACTCTTTTATTTTAATTTACAATATATCTTTCTGTCAGTATTGGTACACTCATAGAAATGATTTGTGATGGGGTGAGTACGGCAATTCACTTTTTGAAAAATATTTCTACTATTAAATTTTTCTACAGAAGTTTTATTCGCTATCTGGATTTCAAGTATTAAGTATCCATCAAATGCTTGACTTTCATCTCATCAGCAATTTTTTGAATCATTGGAATCCCTTTTAAGACACCAACAGACTGATGTGGAATTATAATTTTTAATGACAGATCAGTTATGTTCTTTTACCGTAGAAAATAGTGCTCTGGGAAAACCATCTATGCTTGGTCTGAATTGCTATAAGACATCGTGACCCAAGATCAAAATTTTCTCAAACTAAAATTACAAGTTACTGTGTTGCAAGCTGTCAATTCTTGTATGAAACCAATATCGCACTAAGAGAAATTATTGAGAAAAAAATAACCAAATAAAGTAGTTTCATTGAGAATGGCACCGTCTGCTGGTACACTGATGGTTCTAGAACACAAGAAGACCCTAGAACCAAATACTCAAAACCCGCGGGTATGTACACCAATATCCTTCAATTGAGAGATATCCTCAGTTCAACTTGAACAAAGAGTATAAAAATAAGAACCTAGCTATCATATCAGATAGTCAGGTACCATATTAACTCCAAGAAGGCGCTGATTTGCAAAACTAAATTAAATTTATCAGGTACAAAAAAAGGCAAAATAAAGTTGCTCTCTGCTGGGTTTCAGGACATGTAGAAGTAAAAGGAAATCAGAAAGTGGATGCCCTTGCTAGGAAATGGTCTGCTATACTGCTGACAGTCATGAATCCTTCATTTGCATAGGGGTTCACACTATCAACCAATATCTTAGTCAAAAAGGCAGGTTGAAAATGAGAAAACAGTGGAATTTACTAATTGGATACAGGCAATACAAGAACCTTCTAGTGATCATGAAGGAAATAATCAACAGAAGGCATCAAAAGCGGGAAAAAACTTCAAATCCTAACAGGATCTCAACAGTGCACTGCAGACTAAATGAATATTTGAGGAAGATGAGTATAATTCAACTTGGTGATTGGAGATTTGGCAAAGAAGCAGAGGAGGCACCTCCACCTACGAACGAACTATGGTGATACACTTATCCGCAGTAGGAAACATTTTGGGATGTAATCTGTAACAACTTTCCCCCACTACTGCACTTAATGATTGATAATTTATAACTCTATCGAACTTTTATATTTTAACAAACTTTTTTGTATCTCTTCTTTCCTTGAAACCAAAGGCATTGGTTGTTTTCAGCCCTAATAATTTGTGTGATTTCTATAGATGTACGAAGTGTGTTATACACTACATCCTTGTAGAGCTGTTATACCACCGTTCAGTACCTATAGCACACCTAGTTCCCTTCATCAAAAAATGTAGGCCCGGTTTAAGGGTTGAATTTCTTCAACGGTTACGTTGTACATCCCAAAACCTACGGAAAATTGTAGTAACACAATTTGTTTTTAGGGCAGTTGGTGTCTCATCTGCTTTTTTGCAGAATCAGCACATGCCAGGTCCGATTATACCAGTCTTCTTCAAATGCCCATTTAGTCAGCAATGTCCTGTTAAAAATCCGGTTAGGATTCGCAGTTTTTTCCTGCTTCCTTTGATGCATTTTGTTGTAATCATGTACTATGTATGTAATTTTGTTGTAATTGTAATCATAGAAGAAATTCAACCATTGAACCTGAGTCTACTAATCAAATTTTTGGATGAACTAGGTCTGTGCTATAAATACAGAACGGGAGATACAAAAGGCTCAGCACATATCCTGAATATTACATCTAAATTGAAAAATGGCAAAAAGGAGGGAAAATTCAAAAGGTGGGGTTGAGATGGGAAGTTAGTGTCCGAGTGGATCGAGGTCACGATAGCTCAAGTGGTAGAGCAGCGGCGTATC